TCACTGCAGAGAGAGGAAACCCCTCCGAACCCCCGCATGTCGCCTCTAGTGTGCCCACGAGATGGCGCCATTGCATCACAAATAATTCTGTTGGTCTCAAGACACAGCTCTGCTCTGTCCCGAGCGGGGACACTCGCGAGTCACGAAGCGGCTTGGCGAACCGTTTTGGCTCCCGAGTGGGTTATGCGTACAATAATGCAGGGTTACAGATTGCAATTCGCAGTAAAACCCCCTCATTTGAACGGCATTCTCTTTTCTCACACGGAAGAGAAAGCTTCTCACATTCTGGAAGAGGAAAATTCATCTCTCTTAAACAAGGGAGCGATTCAGGTGGTACCCCCCAATCTGATGAACCAGGGTTTTTATTCCAGGTATTTTCTGGTTCCAAAGAAAGGCGGCTCTCTCCGCCCTATCTTGGACCTTCGAGTGTTGAACAAACATTTGAGGAAATACACTTTCAGAATGCTGACACAGGGCGCACTCGCCCGTGCCATAAAACAGAACGACTGGTTCACATCAGTCGATCTGAAAGATGCTTTCTTTCACATAAGCATTTATCCTCCGCACAGGAATTTTCTTCGTTTTGCCTACCAGGGCATATGTTGCGAATTCACAGTTCTTCCGTTTGGACTCAGTTTGAGTCCCCGGTCTTTCTGTCTGTGCACGGAGGCGGGCTTAAGGCCTCTGAGAATAACAGGTCTGAGAATCCTGACTTACATAGACGATTGGCTCATCATAGCCGAATCGAAGGAGAAGGTGTTGCAGGTACACCGGCCGTGTGCTCGCGCACATCACATCGCTCGGGTTCCAAGTGAACGTGGGCAAGAGCAATCTCACGCCCAGTCAGAATGTCAATTTCCTGGGTTTGGAGTTTAACTCGGTTGCCATGCGAGCGCGTCTCTCTCTAGAGCGCGTTCGCTCTCTATGAGCTGTCTGTCACAGTTCAGAGAAGGGGCGAAAGTGCAATATCGCACATGTCTCAGGATGCAGGGTCTCATGGCTTCATCCACCCAAGTTGTGCCATTAGGACTCCTTAAGATGAGGGCGTTCATGAAATGGGTTTTGTCGCTACATTTCAGCCCGATTCGCGACCTTTGCCGCTCGGTTACAGTGACGCGCGCGTGCAGTGCAGCCCTGCGCCATTGGAAGAACGCAGACTTTTACGCACGGGGAACCCCTCTCGGGGCGGTTACAATGCGGAAAGTGGTGACGACAGATGCATCCTTAACAGGCTGGGGTGCCACCCAGGAGGGCAAAACGGTGAACGGTCTGTGGCCAAACAGACTACATTCAGCACATATAAATTATTTAGAGCTTTTTACCAATTGGAAAGCTCTGAATCATTTTCTGCCTCGCCTGCAGGGACATCATGTGCTGGTACGGTGCGACAATACCACGGCTGTGGCATATATCAACCGTCAGGACAGCTTGCGCTCGTCGAAACTTCACCTCCTAGCTCACAAGCTCTTGGTGTGGAGCAGACGGGTTTTCTTGTCGCTACGCGTGACTCACGTCCCAGGCATTCTGAACGTCGGCGCATATCTGCTGTCAAGGGGAAACCCAATCTACGGGATTGGCGTCTTCATCCGCAGATAGTGGAAATGCTATGGATGAGATTCAGACAGGCGAGCGTAGATCTATTCGCCTCGCGCGGAAACTGCCATTGTCCTATGTTCTTCTCTCTAAGGGACATGGACGCGCCCCTCGGGGTAGACGCACTGGCCCACCCATGGCCGAGAGTGCTCCTGTATGCTTTTCCTCCCCTGTGCCTGATATTCCCACATTGGCCAGGGTGAGAGAGCAGGGCCTGTCTCTCTTTCTGATAGCACCCAGATGGCCCAAAGCACCGTGGCTGGCGGAGATAATCCCTCTGTTATACGCCGAGCCATTGTGCCTTCCCGTTCGCACGGATCTATTATCCCAAGCCAACGGGGAGATTTACCACCCCCACCCGGACAGGTTGGCTCTCTGGGCCTGGCCCGTGAGAGGACGAACCTGAACGCACTTGGGCTTTCGCCGCGTGTGGTTACCACTATTCAGAATGCCAGGGCCGTCTCTACACGGCCCTTATATGGCTGTAAGTGGCAAGTGTTCGAGGGGTGGTGTGATGGGCGCGGTATCACATCTTATCAGTGTTCAGTTCCTGATATTTCGTGTTTCCTTCAAGACCTCATGGATAAAGGCAGGTCCTTTTCCACCATTAAGGTCCACTTGGCTGCTATTTCAGCCTGTCATGTGGGTTTTGAGGGCTCGACCGTCGGTCAGCACCCTCTAATCCGCAGATTTATGAAGGGTGCACGCCGCTCTTTGCCAGTCGTCAGGAGAACTGTCCCGGAGTGGGACCTCTCCATGGTGCTGGAAGCTCTGTCTCAACACCCTTTTGAGCCTTTGGATAGTATATCCCTTAAGCTGCTGTCTCAAGACAGCTTTGCTTTTGGCCTTGGCATCTGCTAAACGTGTCAGTGAGCTACATGCACTCTCGGTTCATCCCTCGTGCTCTAAGTTCTCTCTTAGTGGGGATAAGGTCTTCCTTAAGCCTAACCCGGCCTTCATGCCGAAGTGCTTCCCTGCGTTCACTTCGGAGGTGTTGGAGCTGTCCGCTTTTCACCCTCCACCTTTTACCTCTCTAGAGGATCAGAGGCTGAACGCTCTGTGTCCAGTCCGTGCCTTACAGGCATATATGACCAGGACGAATGCTTTCCGGAAGAGCGACCAGCTCTTTGTTTCATGGGCTCCCCCTCACTTAGGGAGTCCAATTTCGAAGCAACGCCTCTCACATTGGGTTGTGGATGCTATTACCATGGCTTACAAAGCAAAGGGAGTGCAGCCCCCTAGGGGCATCAGAGCTCATTCCACAAGAGGTTTAGCCACCTCTTGGGCTCTGTTTAGGGGAGTGTCACTGCAGGACATCTGCTCCGCTGCCAGTTGGGCTTCTCATACCTTCGTGCGCTACTACCGGCTGGATGTCACCAGTACCTCGGTAGCACATTCGGTTCTAGGGGTCGGGTCGTCTTAGCCCCTCCCTGCTGTAACCCTGTTGGGATATATAACCATTAAGAGTGAATGGGCTGACTGGCCATGTTCATTCCTGTCACCTATCATTTCTTCCCCTTTCGGGTATAGATTATGTCTTGGTGGGTTGGGGTTACTATCTCGCATGTGTCCCATGCGTATTTCATGTCCTGCTTGTCCACATTAGTTAGGTGTGGTTTCACCATCGCAGGCTCATGATTAAGGGACGTGTCAGGCACCGCCTCCCTGAGGTGACCGTCCTTCTCTGGCTTCAGAACCTCACTGTGAGTGTATTGGGCAATCGGGGAGCTGTCCATGTCTCTCCCATAGGTGGATCTCGAACACGAGATGATGAAAGAGAACAATAGGTTACTGTCGTAACCCCGGTTCTCTGAAACATCGAGTGGAGAGATCCACCAGCTTTGCCCCGCTTTCCGCACGAGAAGCGAATATACTTACTGAGGAATAGCAGCGCGCCCAGATGTTATATGCCCGTGGGTGAGGGGTGTGGCCTCATCGGGCACTGGCCGCGTGCTTCTGTCTGTCTAGCCAGACTTGGTGCAATTGGATGCTTCTGCAGAGGTCAGGTACGGATGCCCTTCCCATAGGTGGATCTCTCCACTCGATGTTTCAGAGAACCGGGGTTACGACAGTAACCTATTGTTTGCTTCTGTTGCAATTTGTTCAAGGTTGACCCCCATTTTGGTTTAAAATGACTGGACTATGATAGCAGCTACGTAGGCCTACATGTCTATTTGATGTGTGTGTTTACATCTGGAAGTCTTTTTGAGTGTTTGCGATTCAGCTCTTTAGGACGTGTCAGATGTCAAAAAGAGCTTTTAGAAGATATCTTCAAGATTTAATGATTTAGAATATTAAACTGACAAAGATGTCTATCCGATGTTAGTAAACAGCAGATGCTCTCCAGATGAAGTGATCTTTAACAGACATCTTAAGTTGCAGACGTGTGCTATCTGGGACCTGTACCTCAACCCCATCAAGCACTCATATCCAGTTATTAATGTATACTACTAGTAAAACACTCAGTAAAGTTATAACGTCTTACCCAGACTGTAAAAAAAAAAAAAAAAACGTCTTACCTCAGAAGTTTACGCCTTTTCCTGTCAGTCTCCGTGCGCGCGACCGGGACTAACGTGTCTCCATCTGTTCCCACATAAGAAAATAAACTCACGCTTTTGTAATCTATAATTCAAGATTTACATACATTTATTGACGTAATTTAAAAGAACGTGTAAATGCGTCATAATTATGCAATGAAAAGTCGAAATTATGATGAGTTATAATAGCTATATAATAGTTTAGTTAGGCTATAATATAAAGTTGAAGTCGATGATATCATCCTTTCGACTTCGATGATTTAGTATGTTATAATCTCGTCATATGATTAACCACATTTTTTTTTTTTTCATAACCCGCATTCTCTCAGTCGTTCACGATAAGTCATAATATTACGGCTACATGTACCTAAACAAATCCCTGAACATACAAACTAAACCATGTTATAGGCTACATTGAAACTGCAAAGATAAAATATAGGAATAAAGTGCATAAAAATAAATGTTTTTTGACCTTGGTTGTGAAATACAGGTTCTATTCTGATCGTTCTTTTACTCAATGTAGAAAAGTGCCCCTATTAAAGACATCTAAAGGATTTTTGTGCAAATATACCGCATATTAATCACCTGAGTCGGTCTGATCCGGATCCGGATCCAGTAATCCGGTTTTGACACATGAATCATTAAACACATTTTGTTTTTAAACAGATGTATTTATACAAATCATCAGGGAGAAAAAAAAAACATTGTCCAACATTTTCCTCTAAAGATTTTAAACCTTTGAAATAAGTTTGTAAATAATTCTGTATTTGATGATTTTATATTGAAGGAGTTTAAGAAATCCAAACAGATATTGTTTAACTCTGTAAAAATGAATATCAGGCCTCTTTTACAAAAATGATTTTTCGACAGTAGATGAAACACATATATTTAAATATTAGAACAGCTGAAACTGCTGTAAAGACACACACACATCATCACTGATCTAAACACACACTCGATGAGTCGATATAATATAGTGACAGTCATCATCCTCATTACCATCATCTGTAAGAAATAACGACAGCAGCCAGACGACTGTAACAGAGTGTTTGACAACTATTATTATTATGAAGCTCTCTTTACACCCAGTGTTGTGTGGAATTCTTACTTCAGCACATCATAGTTTTATTGCAGTTCAGAACCGTGTAGAAAAACAATTGAACAGCACAGATAAAAGCAGGTCTGATAGAGCCTCGCTGCTCCGGGAACCAGCGCCGACTCGACTTACTCGCAGCAATCAGCCTCATGATGACATTGCAAATAAAAAGTGAATATGATTAAAAATACAAGAAGAAAAAAAACAAAAAAAAAAAAACAGAAATAAACAGATGACCTCCCCAAAAAGACTTTAATGTCATATGTGTGTGAATGTATTCTGAGAACGCATGTGAGATTTCCAACCGGGAGACTTTAATATAAAACATCCAGCGTGAACAATCCCAGAGAACTTCCTTTCCAACCTCCAGCGTTCGGATCGATGATCACAAAGAAGCTTATACTCAGGAGAAACTCTCTGAAGATGCCTTATGAGGACACGAGAAGAGCGTCCTCCACACACACAGGCGCGCGCACAGACACACACACACACACACACACACACACGGGCACACAAAAACAGAAAGAAACACCCCTAGAATGACTGCAGTCCATGTGCAACACAGAAACAAGCCCGATACACACACACACACACACACACACAAACACACACTCATGACCTCACTGTAGTGTGATGTGACAGACGTGTGTTGCAGGAAAGCAGTGTGACGTCCTTTTCTGGATCTTCATCTTCATCATGTTCATCATCTTTACCTGCTGGTGTCCATGGGATCCTCCTTAAAGTTCTCACACTGATCCATCACTTTCCTGCACACAAAAAAATATGTGGAATCAGACACACCCACATCATGAGACTTAATGACACTTGTTATGTGTCTGATTATCTTTTCATATGTATGGTTTTACAGGGTTAAAACCAAAAGTATTATAGCAATTATTATTGGTTGAGGGCGAATCATTAATTGAATCATGAATCAGTGTGTGTGTGTGTGTGTGCGTACCGTGCCATGTCCTTTGTCTCCGGGTGAGAGGACTCCAGGTCCAGGACGGTCTTCAGCAGGATCACTCCTCCCTCCTTCATCAGTAGAGGACAGTATTTTCCCGCTGCAGGACAGAGAGAGGATCACCACAGATTCTGTAATGCGCATCAGCCTCAGTGTGCAGCGCCTCACTGACACTCACTGACACTCACGGACACTCTCTGACACTCAAAGACACACACAGACACTCACTGACACACACAGACACACACAGACACTCACAGACACTCACAGACACCAAGCGGCAACATTCTAATCTGAAAAATGAAGCCTGCCCGGAAGTGCGAAAAACTGCAATACATCTAAAATCTGCTAGAGGGAGGTCCCAAAAGGGAGCAAATATCCATAGATTCCATGTTAATATGTTCTGTTTTCACAAATTCAGGCTTTTACAGGTTGGTCCCATGGACATTTATTGTATTTTTCAATAGGTTCTGAGTGCCTGACAACTGTGAGGGGTGTGGATTTTTTTTTTCTAACTCGTTAGTTTAGATCGTATTTAGATGTAAAATGTCTGACAAATAAGGGCGGTTAACTTTGATTGACAGCTGATAACGGGCTGCGCCGAGTGGAATTTGACGTCTCGGCCATGATCTGAGAACACATCATACCACCTCTGTATCCTTTCGTAACATTTGTATTTTGTATTTCTCAAGATTTTCTAATATGGCGCAAAACAGCCTCAAAACTGTTCCTCATAAAGTCTATGGGTGACGTCACAGACGCTTTGTCCATATTTTTTACAGTCTATGACTGACACTCACTCACTGACACTCTCTGAGACTCACTCACTGGCACTCAATGACACTCACTGACACTCACAGACACTCACGGGCACTCATAGACACTCACAGACACTCTCTGACATTTACGGGCACTCACTGACACACACGGACACAAACGGGCACTCACTGACACTCACGGGCACTCACTGACACTCACAGACACTCTCCGACACTCACGGGCACTCACTGACACTCACGGGCACATCACAGCAGGGTTCCTGCACACTTTTTAAAGTAAAATTTAAGGCTTTTTAAGACCTTTTTAAGACCTGAAGAAATCAAAATTAATACCATACATTAGGGGTGTGCGATATTGACAAAAATATATCTCGATATTTTCACGTTTTGTTGATAAACACAAAACAAAAACAAAATCAGTAAAATATCAACTAATTATTATCAACAATAATTAGTTGATATTTTACTGATTGTGTTTTTGTGCTGGTGCCATGGCTGGTTTAGGCCTGTTGTTGACAGCAGACTCGCGGAGATATTTATATTTTTCATATTCTATGCAGTGGTCAGTTCACAGCAGTGACAGAAATTATTAATTAATGTGCAATATTTGCCACCTTAAATTGATTTCCAGGGCATTTTCACCTATTTATGGAGATTTTTTTTTCTAAACTTATTTAGAGTTATGCATCACGTGCATCACATATATACAGTAATTATACTTATTTATACAATGATATTTCATTACGCAATAATTATACAGTACCACTGTTAGCAGTCAAATTAAATCATTCAATCAAAAATCCATCTTTGCAGTGCAGAGGTGACACAGAAGCAGCATTAGAAGTGGCATTAATATACACTCCATTTACAATTGCATAAATCAAGCTATAAGGTTTTTTTTAAAAAAAATCAATATTCAATATTTAAATGTGAAATGATTTCTAATTTTTTACTTTTAATATGAAACTAAAACCGCCAGTAGGTGGCGGAAAATCGCTTTGCAAATCGCTTCATTCAACCGATTTGTTCAAACGGGAAAGAAGCAAGTGATTGAATCGTTAAAATGACTCGTTCAAGACGCGGATTTCCTTCAAGAAATCATCGGTGTCTGTTGCATTGAGACTCTGCTATGGTTTCATTTTGAAATTCTAGTCGGCGAAATAAAGGGAAAACAAACAATATCGATAATGTTATTGTCACGGGGTGTGGTGGAGTGCAGGCAGAGGAAGACAGACTGAAGAGGCCGATGCTCCAATACAAATACTTTACTAAATAATTCAACACGGGTACAGGTTCAGGATGACGGGCAGGACACTCACACAACGCAGGGTAACATTAACATCGACCGACCAAGACTGACTAAAACAGAGGGAACTAAATACACTGAAGAATCAAACATAATGAGGTGAAGACAGGTGAAACAGATGAACAGGACGCTGAACGGGAGGCTGATGAGGGAGTGAGTTCAGGTGTGCAGACAAGAGGATCATGGGAAGTGTAGTGCTGGAGACGCAGACAGGATGGTGCAGACGAAGACTGTGACAGAACTCCCCCCTCCCGGGAGGCGTGACCTCACGCCGCATAACAGAGGAAGGAGGGGGGACGAACTGGGGGCTGGGCGGGGCGGGGCCAGGGCGGAGCAGGCTGAGGGCGTGGCCAGGGCGGAGCAGGCTGAGGGCGTGGCCAGGGCGGAGCAGGCTGAGGGCGTGGCCAGGGCGGCGCAGGCTGAGGGCGTCCCAGGGCCAAGCAGGCTGAGGGCGTGGCCAGGGCGGAGCAGGCTGAGGGCGTGGCCAGGACGGAGCAGGCTGAGGGCGAGACCAGGGCGGAGCAGGCTGAGGGTGAGACCAGGGCGGAGCAGGCTGAGGGCGAGACCAGGGCGGAGCATGATGAGGGCGAGACCAGGGCGGAGCAGCTGGAGGGAGGACCCCTGGTGGAGCCGATGGTAGTGGGGCTGACAACACCAGGGGGCCGACAGACAGGGGCGGAGCGGATGGGAGAGGAGACCAGGGTGAAGCTGAGTGACTGACGACATGTGGTGCTGATGAGGGACTGAGGGAACATGGTGATACCGTAGGCTCTGGTGACTGAAGTGACGACAGGGGCACAGAGGGACACGGTGAGGTCAGAGGGCGTGAGGGCTGACGGGTGACTGGAGGGAGTGAGGAGTCCAACTGAACTGAAGGGGTGACAAAACAGGGCGGAGCCAAAGTAAGGAAGTCCAAAGGTGAAGGGAGGACGACGAGGGAGCGAAGGGAGTCCGGAGGGTCGAGGGAGCCTGGCCGAGCTGGTGGACTGAGGGGCCATGGAGGAGCTGAGGGAGGTAGGAGCCACGGGGGAGCCAATGGGACCGGGGGCCGAGGAAGTGTCCAAATGGGGGAGGTGTGAGGCGAAGGCCGGGGAAACACGGACCAGGCTGGTTTCGGGGAGCTGAAGGGCAGGAGAGCAGAGGGAGGACAGCTGAGAGGAGGCGGGAGAGGGAGGCTGGGTGGGATCCCGGTCTCTGGTGCTGGCTGGACGGTCTCTGGCGCTGGCTGGACGGTCTCTGGCGCTGGCTGGACAGTCTCTGGAGAGCTGGACGGAACCAGCAGTGAAGAGCATACAGTCTCTGGTGGGCTGGACGGAACCAGCAGTGAAGAGCATACAGTCTCTGGTGGGCTGGACGGAACCAGCAGTGAAGAGCATACAGTCTCTGGTGGGCTGGACGGAACCAGCAGTGAAGAGCATACAGTCTCTGGTGGGCTGGACGGAACCAGCAGTGAAGAGCATACAGTCTCTGGTGGGCTGGACGGAACCAGCAGTGAAGAGCATACAGTCTCTGGAGGGCTGGACGGAACCAGCTGTGAAGAGCATACAGTCTCTGGAGGGCTGGACGGAACCAGCTGTGAAGAGCATACAGTCTCTGGAGGGCTGGACGGAACCAGCAGTGAAGAGCATACAGTCTCTGGAGGGCTGGACGGAACCAGCAGTGAAGAGCATACAGTCTCTGGAGGGCTGGACGGAACCAGCAGTGAAGAGCATACAGTCTCTGGAGGGCTGGACGGAACCAGCTGTGAAGAGCATACAGTCTCTGGAGGGCTGGACGGAACCAGCAGTGAAGAGCATTCAGTCTCTGGAGGGCTGGACGGAACCAGCAATGAAAAGCACACAGTCTCTGGAGGGCTGGACGGAACCAGCAGTGAAGAGCATACAGTCTCTGGAGGGCTGGACGGAACCAGCAATGAAAAGCACACAGTCTCTGGAGGGCTGGACGGAACCAGCAGTGAAGAGCATACAGTCTCTGGAGGGCTGGACGGGACCAGCGGCGAAGAGCATTCAGACTCTGGAGAGCTGGACGGAACCAGCGGTGAAGAGCATTCAATCTTTGGAGAGCTGGACGGAACCAGCGGTGAAGAGCACTCGAGCAATGGAGTGGGGCTGGTGACGTCATACATGGTAAAGGGAGATCCACATGACACCAGCACCCACTCCACATAGGCCACAAAGTCCCCTCGAGGCCCGTCTCCGGGCAGGCGTGCCTGGGTTTCAGCGTTTAGGCCTGCCCGGAAGAACACACAGAGGCTTGTGTCATCATAGTGAACGTGAGGTACCAAGTCCAAATACCTCTGTGTGTGGGCCTCGAGGGATTGATCCTCCTGCTCCAGGAGGAGAAGTTGTACAGCTGCTAATTCCATATTTAATCCCAATTTGGGGGGTCGGTCGATCTGTCACGGGGTGTGGTGGAGTGCAGGCAGAGGAAGACAGACTGAAGAGGCCGATGCTCCAATACAAATACTTTACTAAATAATTCAACACGGGTACAGGTTCAGGATGACGGGCAGGACACTCACACAACGCAGGGTAACATTAACATCGACCGACCAAGACTGACTAAAACAGAGGGAACTAAATACACTGAAGAATCAAACATAATGAGGTGAAGACAGGTGAAACAGATGAACAGGACGCTGAACGGGAGGCTGATGAGGGAGTGAGTTCAGGTGTGCAGACAAGAGGATCATGGGAAGTGTAGTGCTGGAGACGCAGACAGGATGGTGCAGACGAAGACTGTGACAGTTATGGCTAAAAACTAACTCACAACTTTATTTTTAATTTAACTATTGTATAACATAAATATCACACTTGTGCACGGGAAAACGGCACTCTTACTGATGTGATATTCTAATATAACAACATGATATAAATATATCGCAAAAACTAATTTGGGGACATACCTATAACCATAATAAATACATGTCTATGCCTATAACTGCACACATCACGCCGTGAAAACACGAGAGACAAATGCGATGTCAGCTCACACTCACAGTGCCTCGTCCATCATTAAAAGAATAGAGTATCATAATAGACAATACACATCGCACACCTCTACGCACATAAAGAATTAACTTACGACTGAACTGACATTTGCCAACTTTCTTCTCTCCTCCTCTCCTGTCTCGCGTGCAGGAGACGGACGTTATTCAGCCGCGAATGTGACGCGAATTGTCACGTGAACAAGCAAATCCACAAAGATAAAAATTAATACGTACGCAAATTAGATGGTTTTAATTTGGAAAACATTAAGATATGACTGAGTCGAAGTGTCATCTAAAATTTAAGACCTTTCATACCTAAAAATAAGACTTTATAAGACTTTTAATGGCCTTAAATTTTAAATATCTAATTTAAGACATTTTAAGACTTTTTAAGGACCCGCGGGAACCCTGCACAGTGATCCTAATGAGAATACTCACGGTAAACTGACACCAGGTTATAAAGCGCCCATGTGGCCCAGTGCTGGCTGACTGGAGCGCTGCTCTGAGGGAGGAGACGCAGGATCGGCTCGAACGACCTGCACACATAAACGCACACACACACACACACACACACACGCGTCAGTGACTAGCGTCTGCTAACAGTGTGTAAGTTTAGCAGCATCTAGTGGTGAGGTTGTGCATCGCACCCAAAGTGATGTCGTCATCTGAAACCACAGATGTTAGCCAGTTAAGCACTGAGGATTCTTTACAAAGATCTATTAGAAAATTATGTGTACTTGATTATTCAGTAAAACAATATGTTATTGTGAATATTATTGTGACTTGTTCATCACTGTGCCAACACAGTGGCGAAGCGCATTTGTCCACTCAGGGCCACCGAAGAAATGTGGATGTAAGCGGACCTGCGGTGTGTAGAGAAATGCCTCATTCATAACGTTTCATTAAGATCTTTATACAATGAACACAGTTATGTGCATGATATTGCATTTCTGTCATTCCTAAATATTACACACTGCACTTTTAAGTCATTTTCTGATATCAGTCACATGATCTGAATCATCATTGGCACGTTATATAATGCGGTTAACGCCAAGCACGTAAAGACACACGTGTGCACTTGATGCTGAAGCACGAGCTCAAGTTTATACATGATATGTTTTATGACTATATTTTTCATTTCTGTACTGTTCTGAATACCGTTACATGTAACCCTCATCCTTCCCTCGCGTTCTGCAACACTTCTTTCCCTCGCGGGTCAAAATGACCCAAAACCCTAAAATTATACTTTTTTTTTGAGTCCAGAAATCTTATTTTATTTCACTTTCATAATATTTTGTCTATTTGTTTAATGCAATTTTTGGGGGGAGATTTTTTGTTATTTTATATTGTATTTACCTTTAAATCACTAGATTTGATTAATTAATAATAAATAAATATTAATTCAAGCACATTCCTAACATTCAATCTTATAATACAGCACTAAATATCTTACACTGGGAGTCTCTGTCGACCTCTTGTGGAATAATAATAATAACACATGATGATAGTTCACGACTCTAGATGGGCTTATAGCCATAGACAGTATAAGAAGTGGACAGAGCCATCTCATTGGAATTCCATTGAGACAAGTTTTTAGCACTTCCGTCCCTGACGCGCAGACTCAAACAGAGATTGACGACGTAGATGTGACGAGAGCAACCCGTCTTTCTTCTAGTGCTGTAGCATGAGAAACCTGAATCATTCCCTTCCGAAACATGCAGAGGCGGAGAGTGTGAGTAGGAGCTGTCCATGAGCAGGAGCAGGAGAAACTTTTGCTATGTATTCTGATTAATTATTTTGTCATTTTGCCTCCACGTTTCCCCGATTGCGCGCAAGCTTCTCCTCCTGTCCATACGGTAATCTCTCTACTGTGCGACAGAGAGTCGCGTGGGTATGACCCAATCGTTAGCCTACTTTCACAAAAACCGCTTCTACGGGGCCATAACATAAGCTACAAGGTAATGGAGCATTTTATACATTGTCATGTTTCTTGAGAAATAAATAATGGACAAATGGGGTCTTCAAACGCCTCAGATGTAAAGTTATTCGCTGTCAAAGTGATGCCAAAATGAATGGAAGTCAATGGAAATGTTAACGCAAGTGAAGTTCTGCTACAAGATGGCAGCTCCCGCGAGGCTTCAGTGTGCATTCACACACACAGTATACAATCATATTTTGGTAAAGTTGTATAATTTTAGTTTGAGCGTGAGGTTACACACACCTGTAGTTGATGTTGCGTCGCGAGCTAACGTCCCAGCTCTGAATGGCCGCCCACATTTTGTCCATGACCTCTGACCTCTGGGGCTCCTCCATGGACCAGACCTCGGGCCCGTCGAACATAATGTGGGACAGAACCCCACAGGCGTTGTAGGACACCTCGATGCCATCCGCCTTACTGTCCAGCAGCTCACTGAGACACACACACACACACAGGTCAGAAACACACGACCTCTGACCCCGTCCCATCATACACTGCAAAGAGCGTGAGCCGCACCTGAAGACGCTGATGAACTGCTTGGTCAGGAGCTGTGGTCTCAGCGCTCTCACTTCGGCCACATTACCCAGAAGCCCCAGCATGTTTCGGTGCAGCTCCTGTTTATCTGGAAACTCCTGCGGGAGATCAGAAATCAAACAATAGCCGATGCAAACGGTCATTTGACACGGTCATGTGACAACAAAGGTTGTCAGGGTGTGTTTGGAATCATACACGATTAACCCTGTGTGAACTGATGGACATCTGTGTCTCTTTCAGTTTCGCGACTTTGATCTGTTTGATCTACTTTGACCTGTCTTAATGCCCACTGCTTGAATGTTGGTACGTGTATTTATATTGGAATGTTATTATTCCACCCCCATTTCCTTTAATAAATCTATTTTGCACTAGTAATACAAAATAGTTCCTCTCAGGACCTTGAAGACAAAACCATCCCCATTGCAATTTTTAATCCCACCGCCATTAAACTATAAAATGACGCAATCTTTAACAGGCTCTCTTTCTTGCTTATGCATATTATAGATGATAAACTATGCAGTGATAACTGTGTTTGTGTGTGTGTTTGTTTGTGTGTGTGTGTGTGTGTGTGTGTGTGTGTTTGTAAGATTTGAAAGGAACTGCAAACCCAGCGCTGTCACGAGAGCACTCAAGAGCACTCAATTGTGCTCTTTTTTGCAAGAAAATGATATCTATGAAAAATTCCAGTCAGGATTCAGACCGCATCATAGTACAGAAACTGCGCTAGTTAAAATTACAAATGATTTACTTTTAGCTTCTGACCAAGGCTGTATCTCAATACTAGTCCTACTTGATCTTAGCGCTGCGTTCGACACTATAGATCATATAATACTCTTGGATCGACTACAAAACTTCACCGGTGTCCAGGGACAGGCATTAAGCTGGTTTAGATCGTACTTATCGGACCGTTCTCATTTTGTCTGTTTAAATGGGAAAAAATCAAAGATAACGTCAGTAGACTATGGAGTACCGCAAGGATCGGTTTTAGGCCCTCTGCTATTCTCAATATATATGCTGCCACTTGGTAATATTATAAGAAAACATGGAATTAATTTCCACTGTTACGCTGACGACACTCAATTATATATTTCATCACGACCAGATGAAAACACTAACTCATCTAAAATGACAGAGTGTCTCAAAGATATAAAATGCTGGATGACGCGTAATTTCCTGCTATTAAATTCAGATAAAACGGAGGTATTACTTATTGGTCCAAAAAACTACTCACAAAACCTCTCACAATACAACTTTAATATAGACTTTATCCACAACAGTAAAAGACCTGGGTGTTATACTAGACCGCAACTTGTCGTTCGAAAATCATATTTCATATGTTACAAGAACAGCCTTTTTCCACCTTAGAAACATTGCTAAGCTACGTAACATGCTATCTATTTCTGATGCAGAAAAATTAGTTCACGCATTCATGACCTCGAGACTAGATTACTGTAATGCTTTATTAGCCGGTTGTCCTGCATCCTCAATAAACAAGCTACAGTTAGTACAAAATGCAGCTGCTAGAGTTCTTACTAGGTCAAGAAAATATGATCATATAACACCGATTTTATCATCTCTACACTGGTTACCTATTAAGTTCCGCATCAACTACAAAATACTACTACTGACCTACGTATAAAGCCCTAAATGGTTTAGCACCTATGTACTTAACGGACCTTCTTTCGCCCTACAATCCACCGCGTTCCTTAAGATCACTAAATTCAAGGCTTCTGGTCATTCCTAGGATATCGAAGTCCAGTAAAGGAGGGAGGGCGTTCTCGCATTTAGCTCCAAAACTCTGGAATGGCCTTCCCGATACGGTCCGAGCCTCTGACTCGCTGACACAGTTCAAAACTAGATTAAAGACGCATCTCTTTAGTCAAGCATTCACATAATGCTTACCTTCTAGTCCTCTGTTATGCCATACGGAACCGTTTGCCACTGAAACTGCTTAACGCACCAGTGGGGCTCGACAGCCTTTTAGACAAACGGGTCGGCGCGTATGGTTGGGTTGCGGAGAGTTCGGGTTACGGAGAGTTTGTGAGTTATAACGGAAATCATTATGAACATCAGCTATGCTAATTATTTCCCATCTGCCTTTCTGCTGTTATCTCGGGACGCTTGTCCCGAGAAAAATGGCGTTTGTCAGGTCCAGTTTTGTGTCCAGCCTCTCACGGGGATTTCGGATGCCCCAACGCCTGTGATGAGACGACTCAACGCCTGCGATATGTTATGGCGCCGTTTGATTCATAAACAATATTTATACTTAATATTTATATTTAAACAATATGAATGTAAGCCAGAGGAGAACTGGCCCCCGACTGAGCCTGGGTTCTCCCAAGGTTTTTTCTCCATCCAATCTGATGGAGTTTGGTTCCTTGCCACTGTCGCCTTGCTTTTGGCTTGCTTTGAGCTTGCTCAGTTGGGGTTATTTAGTGTTTAGCAATGTTGTTGATCTGTGTTGTGCTACTTTCATGTTATCACTGTGAAGCTGCTTTGATACAATCTGTATTGTGAAAAGCGCTATATAAATAAATGTGACTTGACTTGACTTGACTTGTCACGGTGAGTTTCGCTGCATCTAACAGGGAATCTGGTCCTGCGCTCACACACACACACACACACACACTTAAACACACTCACCCAAACACAAACACACACTCAAAGGTACCAAACAAGAACGCTCATTATTTAAAATATCAACCTCACATTTGGAACGCGACTTGTTTACATTTGACACTGCGTTTGGATTTTCCCATCAGTTTTACATTTCAACATGTTTCATAAAAAACATTATATAAAACATTATTGAAATAAATCATTTTCAGAAACCTAAACCTCTATAACTTTTCTGGTTTTACTTTTTAAACTTTTTTTTTACTTCAACAATAATCTGCCAATCTTCTTCAAAATGGAACCAAACTTAGAGAGCATATTGCAGGTAAAGAAAAATCCAAATTTATAGATAACCTTGTATGAAAATACCATATGAAAAGTTATTGCAGGATTTAAAATGTTTTAAAACAACATAAGGGCACTAATTTAGTAGATGGACTGCTAGTAAAAACGGCTTTTTTTTCAACATCGTGTCATTTTATGTCATATCAGGGAGCCTCAGCCTCGGCTCAGTGGAGAGTAGGCTGGTATACAGTGAGAGCGTTCGTCAGTCAGTGTGCTTTCCATTACAAGAAAAGGGATGGTGCTATAGCCTATCTTTCTTTCCTGCTGTGGTTTGTGCAGGTGAAGAGACGGTATTTCTCTTCCGCATCGGCTTCGGAAAACGCGGTCGTGTGTTGAGTTCACTTCAGATCAAATGATCATCATCCCCGCGATATGATGGAGTTCAACATGGTATGCCGAAGCAAGAATATTGATTGTCGTATACTATACCAATGGCATCAAATAGTGTGATATAGGTAACTTAGTCATGTCATGCCCTAAATAGAGGCAACTTGTAATTTAAAAACAAAATTGGTTGTTTAAATACTCAAATCTTTAATTTTCTGTTTATGTTATAACCCAGGTGAAAAATATGTATTAAAAATTTACCTGAGTATGCTTTTAGTAAAATAGAAATCTACTCAAGTAAAGTTTTTATACATTTAATAGTATATAAATCTACCCTAAACGTACTAATGTCTGCTGGCTTGTTATAGGATCATAATTATCTCTCTAACACACACCTCACACACACACACTGCACTAACACACACACACAAACAACACACTTTAACACACACTGTGCACACGCCACAGGGACAGAGAGAGCACTAACACACACACACATACACACACCTTCAGGCAGTCCAGGAACAGCTTCATGCCGTTACACTCCAGAAACATCTGGCAATTATCCGGCGTCTCGTCAGTGATGTTCCACAGGGCACTCCAGGAGAACTCCATCACCTGATCACACTGAACACACACACATTCTTCATACCGTGACTACGAGAAAAATTTAGAATAATAATATTCATCATTTAAATGATTCCTCCACTTTGAGCTGATCATGTTTTGCTGAAGTGTGTTTTCTATAATTGCTAATGCTCTTTTTACAGACAGACTGAACAACATGAAGCATTGCTTGGTCACTGGTTGTGCTAAACTGGTATTATCTAATTGTGTAGTTAAATTTAACAGCTGATAGATATTCAGCATAATTCATGTGTGAGAGTCTAACAGAAGGATGGATAAAACCAGTGAAATATCCACTGATCTGAGAACTCTGAGTTCTGCACATATTTCTAAACTATAGCAAATAAACTGATGATGTGAGAAATGTTGAAGGAGTCTGAATGTATTTCGGTTTGACTGTATAAAAATATAAACCAAAACTACAGTAGTTTATGAGTGACAGTGAGACGCACCATTCTGTCCTGTAGCTTCTTCTGAATCAGATTCAGCATCGTCTGCGACACACATACACAACACACACACACAGACAATCACATTAAAATGTGAATTGAATTCACGTTTCTATGAATCTATGAAACAGAAAACACATCACAGCAGTTCCCATATGGCAACCGTGTTAGATTAATGGGTTTTATGCATTAGAACTGGTGAATGTAAATAACCGTGTGTCAAAGCTGCTGTGACGTGTGCGAAAGCTGCTGTGACTCGTGTGAAAGCTGCAGTGACTCGTGTGCGAAAGCTGCTGTGACGTGTGCGAAAGCTGCTGTGACGTGTGCGAAAGCTGCTGTGACGTGTGCGAAAGCTGCTGTGACTCGTGCGAAAGCTGCTGTGACTCGTGCGAAAGCTGCTGTGACTCGTGCGAAAGCTGCTGTGACTCGTGCGAAAGCTGCTGTGACGCGTGCGAAAGCTGCAGTGACGCGTGCGAAAGCTGCAGTGACATGTGCGAAAGCGGCTGTGACAAGTGCGAAAGCTGCTGTGACAAGTGCGAAAGCTGCAGTGACGCCTGCGTTAAGCTGCAGTGATTCGTGCGAAAGCTGCTGTGACGAGTGCGAAAGCTGCTGTGACGAGTGCGAAAGCTACAGTGACACGTGTGAAAGCTGCAGTGACACGTGTGAAAGCTACAGTGCCGCGTGTGAAAGCTGCAGTGCCGCGTGTGAAAGCTGCAGTGCCGCGTGTGAAAGCTACAGTGACGCGTGTGAAAGCTGCAGTGACACGTGTGAAAGCTACAGTGCCGCGTGTGAAAGCTGCAGTGACGCGTGTGAAAGCTGCAGTGACGCGTGCGAAAGCTGCAGTGCCGCGTGGGAAAGCTGCAGTGCCGCGTGCGAAAGCTGCAGTGACGTGTGCAAATGCTGCAGTGACGCGAGCGAAAGCTGCAGTGATGCGTGCGAAAGCTGCAGTGACTCGTGTGAAAGCTACAGTGACACGTGTGAAAGCTACAGTGACGCGTGTAAAAGCTTCAGTGACGTGTGTGAAAGCTGCAGTGATGCGTGTGAAAGCTGCAGTGACGCGTGTGAAAGCTGCAGTGACGCGTGTGAAAGCTACGTGTCAGCAATATGGTACCTTTGAAAGCTGCAGTGACAAGCGCGAAAGCTGCAGTGATGCATGCGAAAGCTGCAGTGAAGTGTGCGAAAGCTGCAGTGATGCATGCGAAAGCTGCAGTGACGTGTGCAAATGCTGCAGTGACGCGAGCGAAAGCTGCAGTGATGCGTGCGAAAGCTGCAGTGAAGCATGCGAAAGCTGCTGTGACTCGTGCGAAAGCTGAAGTGATGCGTGTGAAAGCTGCAGTGACGCGTGTGAAAGCTGCTGTGACGCGTGCAAAAGGTACCATATTGCTGCGATACTCCAGGACACATGATAAAAGAACAAAAAATCTACTTTTGATTAAAATGCTATATTTGGATTTGCAGTGTGTGTGTAAATGAATGCTTGTACTTGGTGCTGATAACCCAACACAGGAAAACAGAGATGCCAGAATAACAATATTCATGATTCTCAGAGTTCAAAACTGAATTATTGTAGATGAATATGCTTGATCTCTGTCTCTGACTAAATCTATTTAAAATAATGTCGTCCAATTTTACTGGTAACAAGATTTGAGATTACAGTATCAAGACACAAATATCCCCCGATCGCATTATTATTTGTACTGTGATACATTGTGACCCTCTAAGGAAAGCTGAAGTAGATGAGCTGCACAGAAGCTGAAAGAGCAAACATCACCGGCCAAGTGTTTACAGGAGAATAAAGCTTAAATCTGTGTACGAGTCTCAGCGCTGGATCATGTGTCGGTACCTTGACGAAGCCCATCTTGCCCACGGCCTCCTTGTGGTCGTTGTCGACCTGGCACACGAGGGCGTTGCACAGGTGCACGGCGATGCGCTGGATGGACTCGTCCTGACGCAGCGGCTCCAGGATCTTCAGCAGGAGCAGATTCACTCGCTCGTACTGGAACTCCAGCTCCTCCGGGATACTGAAGTTACACAGAGTCAGGCAGCAGTTCCTTTGGACCTGCACACATGTGCGCGCACACACACACACACACACACAGAAACACATCTTGTCAGTTTTACAGAAACAACCCATCAGAATACCTGTGCCTCCTGAGAGCTGGTGTGTGTTGCCCTTTACCGTGACCTCCTGGTACTGCTCCATGCCGTTGAGCACGACCTGTATGACCTGTCTGCGCAGACACACACTCTGGTCGCTGCGGTACTCTGTGTTGGTGAGGTAGAACAGAGCCGCGCTGCCCGTCACCTGGATGCTCTTATCGTACTTATGAGTCTTCAGCGCTGTGATCACCAGCTGGAACACACACACCATACACGTCACACAGATCACATGACACACGTGTGGACTGCGGAAATCAGTCTAACTGCACTTGACACGCCTTACAGTAATACAGAAATGAGACCGCATTGACACTATTAGATCAGAACACTCATTAATGAACTGAATCAATATGAATAATGACTCTATTGAGCTGTGTGTGTGTGTGTGTGAGAGTATGTGCGCCCATGTGTGTGTGTGTGCGTGTGTGTGTGTATGTGTATGTGTGCAGGGGTTGTGTATGTGTGGTGTGTGAGAGAGAGAGAGAGAGAGAGTGTGCGTGTATATGTAGGGGTGTGTGTGTCAGTGTGAGTGTGTGTGAGAGTGCGTGCGCGTGTGTGTATGTGTAGGTGTGCGTGTGTTTGTATGTACGTAATAGGGGTGGCACGGTACATGAAAAAACACCCGAACCGTTCGGTTCGCTTGTCTCGGTTCGGAGCGCGTGTGCGTCTCACGGTTCGACGCATGCGCAATGTAACCTCGTGCCCGTATGTGACGTGTTTTTTTTTTCGCGCGACATAAACTTGTTCGACTTGGACCGGCGCTGCACAGAGCGATCGGTGAATAACATCAATCTAGCGCGAGTCGGCTCCGTATGCATTCATCACTTTCGCGGTATTTGATGTCATTACCGATCGCTCTGTGCAGCGCCGGTTCAAGTTAATAAACAAGCCAGTAAAAGTGGAGTATGGAGCGCTGCAGGTCACGGCACGCGGAGAAATGGCAAGTGGGAGAGATGAGGGAGTTGGAGGACGCGCCAGCGTCGTATAAGTCTATGGTATAAGTCCGGTGTGTGGGAACATTTTGGATTTCATGTTATGATATTTTAATTTAACTACAGTGGCACTTTATGTATAGATAAGAGCTTCAGTCATACGTTTTCAAACCCTGCACTTTAATTTTAAGTGGAAAAAAGTACCCTCACATTTTGGGAATAGAAGCATTGTTGATACTGTTTTTGTGTTGAGGTTGAACTTAAATTTCACTTTATGTTTATGGCCTTTGCTATTGCTATAGCTTAATTATCTATAGGCAATGAGGTTTCATGTATATTGACATTTAAAAGACAGTGTTTTAAGAGTTGCTCTCTTTTTCTTTTAAAAGATAGAATTTTGGTAAGAGCTACAAAAGTTAGCAGTTGATACATGAAAGTTAATTTCTTTGTGTAAATAAGATTTATGTGATAAAAATGCACAAGTTCTTGTATGATAGTGATACACACTCTTCTTTTTTTTGCCAAATAAACAAAAAGCATGTCAATTTCTTCTCTCTTGCTGTATCTAAATCTCACCTAGCTTTCCTCTGAGATAGTCCCAAAATGTGCTTAAAGTCAAAGAGTCAAATTCAGTTTGTGCATGATTGCATGAATATAATATATATATTTTTAATACTGTATCCTAAAGTGTGGATAATTAAGCTATATATCACATGCTGAAGTACATTTCTGGAGTGTTACAAACCGAACCGTGGGTTTTGTGAACCGTGCCACCCCTAGTACGTAACCTGTAGTGTTTGCAGTAGTTGACTGCAGTGTGTGTGTGTGTGTGTGTGTGTGTGAACTGTAGTGCTCACAGTAGTTGACTGCATTGTGTGTGTGTGTGTGTGTGTGTGTGAACTGTAGTGCTCGCAGTAGTTGACTGCAGTGTGTGTGTGTGTGTGTGTGTGTGTGTGTGTGTGTGTGTGTGTGTGTGTGTATGTGAACTGTAGTGCTCGCAGTAGTTGACTGCAGTGTGTGTGTGTGTGTGTGTGTGTGTGTGTGTGAACTGTAGTGCTCACAGTAGTTGACTGCAGTGTGTGTGTGTGTGTGTGTGTGTGTGTGTGTGAACTGTAGTGCTCACAGTAGTTGACTGCAGTATGTGTGTGTGTGTGTGTGTGTGTGTGTGACCTGTAGTGCTCGCATTAGTTGACTGCAGTGTGTGTGACCTGTAGTGCTCACAGTAGTTGACCGCAGTGTGTGTGTGACCTGTAGTGCTCGTAGTAGTTGACTGCAGTGTGTGTGTGTGTGTGTGTGTGTGTGTGTGTGTGTGTGAAAATGTGTGTGACCTGTAGTGCTCGTAGTAGTTGACTGCAGAGTGTGTGTGAGTTTGTGTGACCTGTAGTGCTTGCAGTAGTTGACTGCAGTGTGTGTGCGTGTGTGTGTGTGTGTGTGTGTGTGTGTGAAAATGTGTGTGACCTGTAGTGCTCGTAGTAGTTGACTGCAGAGTGTGTGTGTGTGTGAGAGTTTGTGTGACCTGTAGTGCTTGCAGTAGTTGACTGCAGTGTGTGTGTGTGTATGAAAATGTGTGTGACCTGTAGTGCTTGCAGTAGTTGACTGCAGTGTGTGTGTGTGTGTGTGTGTGTGTGTGTGTGTGTATGAAAATGTGTGTGACCTGTAGTGCTTGCAGTAGTTGACTGCAGAGTGTGTGTGTGTGTGTGTGAGAATGCGTGTGACCTGTAGTGCTCGCAGTAGTTGACTGCAGTGTGTGTGTGTGTGTGAGAATGTGTGTGACCTGTAGTGCTCGCAGTAGTTGACTGCAGTGTGTGTGTGTGTGAGAATGTGTGTGACCTGTAGTGCTCGCAGTAGTTGACTGCAGTGCTGGATTCTGGCGATATCGAACAGCTGGTTTATGGCTCGATGGGCAAGTTCAGGACGTTGTTCAGTGTACGCCTCTATAGCGTTCAGAATCTGATCCTCGTTCTTGGAGCCGGTGACCTAGACACACACGCACGGAAATTAATTAGAGCACCGGACAAAAGAAACAGTCACCGCATGTGTGTGTGAGAGGGTGATTGTGTGTCTGTGACTGAAAGTGTGTGTGTGTATGTGAGTGAGTTTGTGTGTGTGGCACCTTATACGCTGGTATGTGTGTGACGGTGCAGAGTGTGGTGTTGTAAAGGCCCAAGAACTGCAATGGCCTCTTCAGCTCCTGAAACGGGTAAATGCTGCTCTTGCTCGGCTCGATGCTACAAACACACACACAAACACACTCTGATATCAATGTTGCTGTGGATAAAGCTACTTAATGTGGATTAGCATTCTGCTAATGCATGAATGTAGTGGTGAAGTAGCAGTGCTCACCTCGGGCGGCCCAGCGCGTCCTCTAGTGCCGGCACCGTGACGTTGTCCAGCATGATGTGTCCGGAGATGTCCAGGGACACCAGGTCCACCAGACCCTGAACGAGGCTGCTCAAGATCTTCCTCGTCATCTTAAACTTGGAGGATCTCTGGTTCTCCCGGGAGATATCCAGGTGTCTGAGGAAACATCTCGCTGATTGGCCGTCAAACGTTTACAGTAGAGCCCGACCGATAAAGGATTTTGAAGGCCGATACCGATAAAAATATTTTTTGGTCTTCAAATCCGATATCCCGATCACAAATTTTGTCATGCTTATTTGAGTAAAGAGAACTGATGGGGATGTTCTTTTAATTCAAGCAATGTATGTATCGTGACTAAAGGCCAATTTATACTTCTGCGTAGGGTGCGCGCAGTAGGTACGGCGTAGCATACGCAGAGGTAGGTACGGCTTAGCATACGCAGGAGGTGTGCGTCAGGCTACTGCAAAGGGTACGTGGTATGGGACGCGTGTCCCATACCACGTACCCTTCGCAGTAGCCTGACGCGCACCTCCTCAAAAATGTAACTACACGTCGCGACGACGCGGACCGCAAGATCTGTGATTGGTCGGCTTGGTAGCATCGCATTTCCTCCTACACATTTCCGCACGTGCCTTCTCACGCATTTCCACACGTACCATCTCCTCCGACGTCTTCTCTCATTTCTGCCTTTCAGTTTTAGTAATTTCACTAAAATTAACTGTTTTTCCAACTCAATAAGCTCCAAGTCCAACATGATCCACTCTCTTTCAGGCTTGTAATAACCTAGCCACACCTCGGGGAATGTAAACAGTGGAACATTAAAACCCTCCGCCGCCAACTAGCGTTTCGGAGCAGTACTGCAGAGCAACCAAAGACCTGAACGCAGAAGTATAAATGCTCACAAAGGCGTCGCCTATGTGCGTAGCCAACGCCGTTCAGAACGGCGTACCCTCGACGCAGAAGTATAAATTGGCCTTAACTCAACAAGTCTTGCCAACATGAACAGTGTAGAGTGCCCTCTGGTGGACAAACTACACTGGAACTACAACTACTACACTTATGACATGGTTGAAGCGTGTTTCGTCCGTTTTTATTTTATTTTTGAAATATTTATTTATCGGCCATTATAACTGTCGATACCGATAGTTTGGAAAATGCCTAATATCGGCCTGCCGATATATCGGTCTGGCTCTATTTCATTCACACGATCGTGTTCAATAACTCTAACCTCTGGTGCTCTACTTCACGAGCTGGTCACAAATTACAGATGTTTCTTTTTTTTGAAAATTAAATCGAATGTACTATTTTTAAGTTTGATAATGTTATTTATTTAATATTTTGGATTTTTACTATAATTTTTACAATTGGAATGGGACCCGTTAAAACCCGAATGACGTGTGTGTGTGTGTGTCCTCACCTGAGTTTGCTCATCTGCAGCACAGTGTGTATGAGCTCCTCTGTCAACTCCACGTTGTACAGCACGAGGGACGCCAGCCGCAGCTTCCACTGTGTGAGGAAGGCGGGGCGAGGAATGTGTACGCCAGACAGGTCGAGCGAGCTCAGCGAGGGCAGGGGCGTCAGCAGCGACTCCACGTCTAGCTCCGGCGTCAGGCCGCCCACGTTCAGCACGCGCAGGCGACTGAAGCCCTGGAAGCTGAAGCTGCGGTCCAGCGTGTGCACGCGCACGTCGTCATCCGCGTCCTCCTCCTCATCGTCACACGCCAGCCTGAAGAAGAGGCTGGACGAGCCGAAGAGGCTGAGTGACAGAAGAGAGTGCCTGAAGCGGAGGAGCGTCCGCAGGCCTCGGGCCGTCACACGCGTGCAGGAGTTCAGGTGCAGCTCCATCAGATCCTACACACACATCAGCGGCAGTGTCAAACATACACATCAGCGGCAGTGTCAAACATACACATCAGCGGCAGTGTCGGACACAGAGCTAAAGCCTGTGGATCTGGAGATAGTCTAAATCTGAACAGATGTGGGGAATTTGTTTAAAGGGTTAGTTCACCCAAAAATGAAAATTAAGTCATTAATTACTCACCCCCATGCTGTACCAACCGCGTAAGACCTTCGTTCGTCTTCGGAGCACAAATAAAGATATTTTTGATTAAATTTGAGAGCTGTCTCACTACCACATTGGCTGCCTAAGGGACTGGCTCTTGACGGCCCAGAAAGTCAATGAAGAAAATGTTTAAATATTCCATGTGACTACAGTGGCTCAACTATAAGTTTATCAAGCGACGAGAATACTTTTTGTGCGAAAAAACAAATGCGCATGCGTCGTGGAAATCTCTTTAAGTCTCGTTTCAGGCCAACAAGGAAGAAAAGGAATAGTCGAATAAAGTCATTATTTTTGTTGGGTTTTTCGCACAAAAAGTATTCTCGTCGCTTGATTAACTTATAGTTGACTACACTGTAGTCACATGGAATATTTAAACTTTTCTTAATGAAATTTTCTTCATTGATTTTCTGGGCCGTCAAGTGTCATTCCCTTAGGAGCCTATGAGGTAGTGATACAGCTCTCAGATTTAATCAAAAATATCTTCATTTGTGTTCCGAAGATGAACGAAGGTCTTACGGGGTTGGTACAGCATGGGGGTGAGTAATTAAAGGAGCAAAACGCAAGTATCTGAGTTTTTGCAGAACTACGCACCCTCTGGCGACAAGCGAAACTGCGTGCGCGCTCACACACACATACACGCACGTTTGCACGAGCTGTTCATAACCAAAGGAGCATCAGCCGCACACTGTGCAGCACACATCTTTTGTTACAGTCATAATGAGGTAATACAGTTATAAATCTGCAGGTCATTTAAAATATATGAAAGGAAAGGCATTCGAGTATACACACTTATGTGTGTGTGAGGTGAAAACAGGGGTAGTAGAAAACTTCGGTTTTTGTTTCCATCTATCTCCATATTGAACTGTTTTATGTGCTTACTGTATCCACGTATGATTGTATAATTATGGAAACACGTTCATGAACAATATAAGTTATTACTTTACTTTGTATACCCGTTTGAGCCCTAGAGCAGACAGGAGATCTCTCCGTTTGTTGAAAGCTTCCCGATGTCGACTCTCGTCTTACTCCGACGCCTGGCACTGGACAGACAGAAGTTGTATTTTCTTTGTCTTAAAGGGCACCTATTATGCCCCTTTTTACAAGATGTAATATTGGTCTCGGGTGTCCCCAGAATGTATTTGTAAAGTTTCAGCTCAAAATACCCCACAGTTAATTTATTATAACCATTTGAAAATGTCAAAATGTCCTGATTAAAAATGAGCTGTTATGGGTGTCTGCCACCTTAATGCAAATGAGCTGCATATCCCCGCCCTGCCTTTGGATGAGGGCGTAACTTGATACCTATGGCAGTCGGTAAGCAGCAAGCAGAAGGGGAGAGTGAGAGACGCGCAGTTTTGAATGTCATTCAGCGTACGTTTGAATCGGAATATATAAATAGTACGAAGAGACTCCGGCAGAATAAACACATGAGAATGGACTAGTACGTCTCGGTATGGTTATTTGATACATTTATGTACTTATAGCGTTGTTGTAATCGCGTCTTTTTGCAAGTATGGATGTGCAACACACACACAGACACACACAAACACTAATGCTGGCGCATTTTTTTGAAACTACATACACATTCTGTGATAAAGTTTGCTACGTACAAGCGAAATTACATTTATGCAAGGGACCTGTGGCGTCATGTTTAGCTTGTCATACAGGTGCTTCTGTGGCAAATGTGAGAAGATGGCTAACTTACAGAACAACATATTTGCAGTTTTTAATACAATATCTGTAAAGGGTTAGTTCACCCAAAAATGAAAATTCTGTCAGTATTTACTCACCCTCATGTTATTCCAACCCCGTAAGACCTTCGTTCATCTTCAGAACACAAATTAAGATATTTAAGATATTAAGATCGCTCCTGCATACAGTCCATAGGCTTCTTGAGGGACTGGCTCTTGCTGTCCTCGAAAAGTCATTAAAGACATCGTTAAAATAGTCCAAGTGACTACAGGGGCTCAATCTTAAGTTTATCAAACGACGAGAACACTTTTTGTGCGCAAAAAAACAACAAAAATAACGACTTTATTTCAACTATTCGTTTCTGCGCGAGTCAGGTTACTAGTTTAATAGCGTAAGCTTCTGTTATTGTACGTCACACGCATCACACACACATGACCAGCGTCGGCCAATAGTGAGCCTACGTGTGACGTAGCTCTACGCAATCACACTACGTTAACTGACTTACAGGCTCATGGAGAAGGAAGTGAAAAGTTGAAATAAAGTCGTTATTTTTGTTGTTTTTTTGCGCACAAAAGTGTTCTCGTCATTTGATAAACTTAAGATTGAGCCCCTGTAGTCACTTGGACTATTTTAACGATGGCTTTAATGACTTTTCGGGGACAGCAAGAGCCAGTCCCTCAAGAAGCCTATGGACTGTATGCAGGAGCGATCTTAATATCTTAAATATCTTAATTTGTGTTCCGAAGATGAACGAAGGTCTTACGGGGTTGGAACAACATGAGGGTGAGTAAATACTGACAGAATTTTCATTTTTGGGTGAACTAACCCTTTAAATATATATTTATAAAGTGTGGTTACACACTATACAAACAATGTTTAAATTATATACACAGACATCCTATGACGACAACAACTTTAGACGCATAATTTGTTGTTGAATTGGCTGACAGACTGAAATTACTATTTGCTCAAAAATCATAAATTACACTTACTAGAGGTGACGGTGGATCGCAAACAGTAGATGACGATCCACACTTGAGGATTAATTTTTAAGCCACAACAACAGGATTAACCCACGAGTCCACGACAGAACACTTATGTTTCCATGAGACATTACCGGCTGTCGTTGAAACAATGGAGGATGTACAGATCACCGAGGGCGGGGTCTAGGCCACAGCCACACTGTCAATCAAACCCCTTTCTCACTTCTACGTCACAAAGAGCTGAATCTCAGAACAGCTCGTTCTGAGACAGTGCATATGATTTATTGAGATTGAAAAAAAACCACTGGGTGGATTTTTATCATTCTAGGGTGGTTTTGCTTACACACTGCCAACACACATTTATGTTCAAACACCATGTAAAAGTAATTTTTCCATAATAGGTGCCCTTTAAGTGAAGTTTGCGTTGGGGTTTGGAATTAACTACAAGCCGGTTCATGCGTTCTCTCAGATCGGTGAGCTATCTGATTTATCAAAACGATTCCATTACACCTGGTCACATAAATGTGTTTTTGCAAAAGAGATATAATCTGATCTTCAATTCCCGCGCTATATAGGCTACAGAATTCATGAAGTGCACGTCACCGAAAGCAACAGATTTTATTAATCATCGGCTAATTTCAAAATCAGCAAAGACAGCAATAAGAGAGAGCGGCAACAGGCCTGGTAAGATCATTTCATTTCTTTACTTTTAATGTAGGTGGTAGTGTTAAGAGTCTGCGACTTACTTTCACTTTGATTTGCAATAGATTGCAGCGCGCTGGCTTGATGAATAGGCGCTCAGCTGCTCATCTGAGGTGATGCGCATTGTCATATATGACTAAAATAACATGACATAAACTATAGCCTGCTTTCAACAACCAGATGCATTTACACTTGTGCAATTTTGTCTGGAATACGGCCCAGACCACGTCCTCAAGTGATTTGAGCGATCGGATTCAAATCCGTCTCGAATGCGTTTCGGAGGGCAACCTGGTCTTTTCACGATCGAATAGCTATCCGATCACAGAAAACGCATGAAGTGAGCAGGTGTAAACAGCTCCTTTGAATCCATCTTCTACTTTTGTGGAAAGTTGACTAAAGTTGTGTCGCTCGAGTTGTCTTCTCTGATACGGAGAATGGCGGGAATACACTAACCTGCCAGACATAGGCACATAGCCAGGCGAGCGTGAACGCGCATGACGTCACGGCCAGTCTCAGATTCGAGCCCGAATCCCTCTTATTTATTTTACTGTACAGGATTATAGAGGCGATCTCAGTGATCAGAGAAGGGCTCATTCAGCCCATCAGGCGATTGTTTAAACATGTATGGGTTAGAAAACGGCTATTTTTAATAGGGCTGGGCGATATGGCCCAAAAAAATTATCACGATACTGTATATGTTAAATATTTATTTTTTTAAGTTTAAAGGCAGATTTTTGTAACTAAGTGAAAGTTGTATAAACCAGAGTGTTAATTGTGTTTTTAAACTACTCTTTAAATTTATGTTCATTAACAAAAACAGTAACATCTGTTTTTTTTTTTTTTTTTTTTTTTTCCTATGCAACAACCACATTTTTATTTGGTAAAAAGTAATATTCTGACTGTTTGAGTTGTATTCAAATTAACCATTGGTCATCCAGTATCATGCATTTTTAGATCATGATAAGCACAGATAAAACCAGTTATAGCCTATAACTTAGCTCCTCACTATCATGGCATAACTTTATGGTTTCTGTATTTTTTGTATGAAAAACAATAGCCTAACAGTTAAATACATTATTAAATACTGTACTTATATTCCATTAGTCATAATACTTTGTTTACATTAATAATATTATACAATATGTATTTCCCACATTTCATGGTGCAGTTAATATTACCAGGCTAACCTTACAGTAAATCCATGGGAAGCTAAATGGATTCAGTATCAATTCAGATTCTGACTGTATCGTTGCACGCAGTGTTTCTCCTTTTTGTCAGCGGTGTTTCATCTGCCTTTAAACTTGACATTTGTGTTCTTCGCTGAACTCAAGTGCTTCTCACTGGATCTCGTGAGCAAAACGATCAGAGGCGCGTCTGCGTGAGCTCGCGCTGCACTCAGTGCGCTGCCATTTGGACTTTGACCCGAGCGGATAAATGCTCCGTGTGGCGCGCGCGGTTTAAATGAGTTTCGTTCCGCTTTTGACGCAAAAACATTATCGAACATTTATCGACCTCTTGATATCGTTTTATCGAGGAAAATTATATCGCGATAATTATCGTTATCGTTTTATCGCCCAGCCCTAATTTTTAACATGAAATGTTGCGCAATGCACCTTTAATAACTTAATTTTCATTTTTGGGTGAACTAACCCTTTAAAGCCCTGCTGAACTGCCTTGGAATGCGCAGAAAGGCCCCTCCCCCTTTTCAAATAGCCAATAGAGTTTGTTTTCCTCACAGACTGACAGCACCATGGAAGCAAGTTCGGGCGCTGGTGATATGCTGGGTTCAATAGAAGAGGAGGGAATAAATTGTAATCGCTCGCTTCAGTCAGGTGGTGTTTATAGCATAGGAGGCGGAGCTTTACACTCTAGAGAGCATTTGATTGGACAGAAGATGTGATAAGGAAGCTGAAGTATGCGGTGACATCATAAAAGAACGTCATGATCCGTGACCAGGAAGTGAGAGACTAATGCGTTACTCACACTACATGATTTTAAAACGTCGGGCTGAACTGTGCGGTTCACACTACATGACTTGCTCTCAGTGAAATCAAGTTGTTGAGCTGTTCACACCACACAACACAACGTGATCCACAACAGGAGGTAACGCACTACACGAGCTGACAACAACTCTGTCACCCAACGATTCTATCTTGTCTACAAACCACGTTTTGTCACGAAAAATCACGCGATAAGATGAACCGGAAATGACGCGATACAGCAATACCCAGTGAAGAAGAGAAGAACACAACACGCGAATATGGACGTCAGACAGAAACTAGTGCTTCCAACTGTTTGCGATGATTTGCTCTGAGAAACTGACTTCAACCCATGCCTTGCTCTGATTGGCTGGAGCTCATGACATCACTGAGGTTGAGTCGCTCGGCAGCTCTGGATATCTAGCATGCTAGATATTTTTCTGGGCTCAGCGAGGCGTCTGCAAGGCGTCTTTGATGCGTTATTGGCTCTTTCATACTAATAGATTGGCAAGCGTTCATCGTCTGCTAATCCCCTGCGATTTGCACGCAATAACACCCTGACCTGTTGGCGAGCATAAAATCCTGTAGTGTGAACTTGGCTTAGGTCTCCTAAATCTACTAATTGCGAATTCTGTCATTGGTTTGGAACACACCGGTTTATTCATAACCTTAATCCTAACATATTCATACTAAGAGATACAAAAAAACATACATTTTGATTTCAAGGGGCCTTTAAAAGGCACACTAAGCAAGATTTGTTCCTTAATATAACAGCTTCCTTCAAAGTCGTTTCGGTGGTAAACAAAGTCATAGTAGGGCGAATCATGCTGGTAGTAAAGCTTGGGGGGGACGCCGCCAGAAAAACCAGCAATGCAAGTTTGAGATCGGCGCCCCTGACAAATGTTGCGAGAATCACGAAATGGTTTACGGCAATGACGTCACACACATCAACAACAACATATTTCACTCGTTGGCACAAGCTTAAAAGCAGCACTGGATGCAACAGCAATGCTGACCTGGCGATCTTGTTGATGGACTTGTAAGTAAATCTCTTATTTGTAAACTTGTTTGCGTTCTACGTTGTATGTTTCTGTGCTGGCCTGTAGTATTTCATTTTTTATGGTGCTGATCATTCATCCATTGTTGATAATTAGACCAGTTCAATAAATCCCACATATGTCTAGCAAGCTTTCAATTACCAGAGCTGTAAGCAGACTTCCTAACAAACAGTCATTTCTCTTAGTTTCGTTTTTCTCGTTGTTTTATTGCCGAGCTTGCCACAAGAGCTAGTTTGCCAGCTGAACTCAGGTGTTGTGATGTGTATTTATCACGTAACATTAGTCCTGTGTCTGGTTCGAATTTCCTATGGCGTGCGTAAGTTACTTTGCTTATACAAACTTTGGCTGACTAACAGTGCACTTCACGACTGTAACTTTACTTCAAATTGTGTTGATTATGAGTCAATTAAATCTTGACGCTGTTGATGTTGATTCCTGCGATTATCATGAGGATATAGTCAATATCTCACATTATCATTAGGACATATATAAGCCTAGAGGTTGTAAATAGTGTAACTGAGCACAGCACAATTTGCTAACTATTATGATAAATTGTAATAATCATGTCTAATGAAACCATAACGGCCAATGTTATGAAATAATGCGACGTACATTTAACTTTATTGATATCATCTGACATTTTGTAATGTTTACATTACAATTAAAAAACACAAATGAAATTATACATTAGTCCTACACTATAGGCAATTTATAAGCTTAAAAACGTTATAAGCCAGCAAACGCGATAGGCAACTTAATTATTGATTGAACTGAATTAAACTGAATTTCTTTCATTATCGTCTCGTTTTCGTCTGTGAAAAAATTAGTTATTAGTTATTGAACTGAATCAATATTGAACTAAACTGAATTTCTTTCATAATCGTCTCGTTTTCGTCTGTGAAAAAATGTTGACAAAAATAATGCCTAAAAAAATTTTCAAAAAAATAATACTGAAATCAGATCAACGTTTGATCGTCAGCGAGTGGATCTCTGAGCTGAGTGAGTGGAGACGGGGCTCATTTGCATATTCATATAACCACGCATACTAAATGAGGCAAGGGTGTCGCGTTACATTCAAGATATTTTAAGGCACTAGAGAACACAGTTTGTTTGGAAAAATCACTATTCTAAGCTCCAAGTACATGAGTATTATATTCTAGAGGCGCATGGATTATGTTTTCAGCTGCTCTGAACTGAAACGTGTTCAGCATCATTAACACGCTGCAGGAAAAGCTGAAAGTTAAAGCATGTCGGTCAGGTGATCATCTCACCTGACCAGGCTTATTACACAACCATAATGAAAGTACAAAGGCTGAGAGTGAAAGTATTGTGACACACTTGAGAAAAGCATTTAAAGTCAGAATTCACACTATCTAAATGCACTTTATTGTGAATGATTTATCCATGCATGTCTCAATTTATAAGCTGTCTTTACCTTTGAATGTCATAACCAGTGTTGTCTGTAACTCATTACAAGTAACTTAATCAGATTACTTTTTCAAGTAACTAGTATAGTAACACATTACTTTGTCAATTTACAACAAAGTATCCAAGTTACTTTTTCACATTTATTGACTGACAGCTCTCCTGTCCCGATGTTGAGAAGAATAAAGTGAGGTGGTGTTGTGTGGGTGTGTGTCTGTAAACATGACGGTTATTGTAGTTCTAGATTATATGTGAACATGCATTTACTTATCTCACTTGTCCGAAAACATTCAGTATTCCTCAAAATAAATAAAATGTTTTTACTAAATTGAACTAGATTAAATTACACAAATATACTTAGTATTTAATCTCACTTTATTATGCAATGTCTTTGCTGCTGACCTTCAATAATCAAATGCAACCATAATAATAAGCAAAAATTACTTTAGATTAGATTCAGAAATAAGAGTGTTGAACTTCCTTCTCTTGTATCCTATCGTTCTTTAATCCATAATAACAGTAGCTGAAGAGTTTGTTTGAGGGACGCACTGTACTCTACCGTATACTACACCTCTACTGTACTCTACTGCACACTATTGTACTCCCCTCTACTGCACACTACTGTACTCCCCTATACTGTACTCTACTGCGCACTACTGTACTCTACCATACTCCCCTTCTACTGTACTCTACTACACACTATTGTACTCTACCATACTTCCCTTCTACTGTACACTACTGTACTCCCCCTCTACTGTACTCTACTGTGCACTACTGTACTCTACCATACTACCCCTCTACTGTACTCTACTGCACACTACTGTACTCTACCATACGTCCCATCTACTGTACTCTACTGCAGACTACTGTACTCTACCATACTACCCATCTACTGTACTCTACCGTACTCCCCGTCTACTGTACACTACTGTACTCCCCTCTACTGTACTCTACTGCACACTACTGTACTCCCCTCTACAGTACTCTACTGCACACTACTGTACTCCCCTCTACTGTACTCTACTGCACACTACTGTACTCCCCTCTACAGTACTCTACTGCACTCTACCATACTTCCCCTCTACTGTACTCTACCATGCACTACTGTACTCTACCATACTACCCCTCCACTGTACTCTACTACACACAACTGTACTCTACCATACTTCCCCTCCACTGTACTCGACCGCGCACTACTGTACTCCCCCTCTTTTGTACTGTACTCCCCCTCTACTGCACACCACTGCACACTACTGTACTCTACTGTACACTGTTCTATACTCTACTGCACACTACGAGGGCTGAAACTATTAGTTGACATTGTCGACAATAAGAAATTGTCTTGGATTATCGCAATAATATCGTATCGTGAGTTCAGTATCGTGATATGTATCGAATCGTGACATGAGGGTATCGTAACACCCATAATGAATATGCATATGCAGATGTAGATGCAGATGTACACACATACAGTTTCAGTGAGGACACAGTTCTAAAAAGGAGCCCCTGGGCTGTTCTCACCTGTTGCCCAACACTACCTATGGTCTAAATGCAATGTATTGTGAGAGATTTATTCAAGCATGCTTCTGTTTTGACCTCGTAATGTTTCATTAGATCGTCATGTCTGGCTTCTTAAACTCCGCCCCTGCTCAGGCTCAGCCCCGGCTTCACATGAGAGTGCCTCGCCCACATGCACTCACCTGTTTGGCGAGGGCCTCCAGGTCCCGGTCCCGGATGAAGTCGTCCCTCAGGTGCAGGCGTGTGATTCTGGTGCTGCGCGGGTCACTGAAGAGCTGGAAGAACCCGTCCTGTGGCTCAAACTCACTGTCTGTGTGCACCAGATCCATGTAGCTGTCAATCAAAGCATCAGAGTCAGCCTCAGAACACCTCACACACACACACACACACACGGCTGGGCGATATGCACCGATATGCAAGTCATATCTCGACATATTTAGGCTGAATATCTATATACGATATATATCCCGTTTTTTTCCGTAGCCTAGTTTTATTGAAAACGGCTATTTCAGTGAACAGGTGCAAAATCAAATGAATAAATAATAAATGGGTTTATTCACCTGGTTCATAATTAAATGCTCAGCTGTTGAAATGCAAAGATAAATAAATACTGTATAACAACAGGAGAACCTTTTTTAATCATTTTGAAAATGAAGTTTGCAGTGAGCTTTGTTTCAGGGCTGGAGCTTTTTCACAGTGTTTCCTCTAGGATTTTTTTCACACTGTGGTGGCAATTACATTCCGATGGCCACGCCCCCTTAGCCTGGTAATACCAGACTCTGCTACTTCACTTTGCTTCGTAGACAGAGTCTGGAATGGCATAATATGGCGCTTTTCCACTGCATAGTACGTTACGGTTCGGCTCAGTACACTTCGACTCGGCGCGGAACAGTTCGGATCGCTTTTCGTTTCCACTGCAGTAGTACCCCTTCAAAGTGTGTGGGACTGATCGTTATTTGCGCGCGCCTCTACTGCCATGACATCATCTTAAAAGCGCCACATTTTCAAACCCACAACTCAGGAACAATGGAGACTATCAAGGGGATGGTGTTCCTGATTCTCGGTATGTGGTCGTTTTTAACTGCTAGACGGAAAAATGTGTTAAAAATGAGGCTGATGGCAGCAAAACAAAAATACTGCTAAAAAAGTGTCTCGTGTCGCAAATCCAATGACGCTAGTAGTGACGCTGGTAGTGACGATTCTGTCTGACCAATCAGTGATCTGCAGTGTTTCACGTCACATTTTAGTACCGGTACGGTACGCTTGGAACCTCAACAGACCAGGTACCATTTAAAGCGACCTGAAGCGAACCGTACTGTACCGTACCATGCAGTGGAAAAGCACCACAAGTGAGACGTACCGAACCGAACCATACCGTACTATGCAGTGGAAAAGCGCCATTAGAAAAGTGTTTTCTCTCTCCCTTCTCTGAAGTTTAAAATCATTGGTTACCCGTAAGCCAATCAGATAAGTTTATTTATGACGTATGTTTGCGCCGACACGGCCGCATCGCGACATTATGCATCGAACTCAAATCTATGATCGAACTTCCACTGTAAACAGGGAGCGCCGCTTTTGTAAGGGCTGCAAAATGTTGCGGCCGCCCCGCACCGTCGGCGTGCCCCGCTCTCACGAGTCTGATTTAGCTTCCGCCGCCCCGCAGCGCCGCGAGGACGAGACCCTGCTCTCACGAGTCATGAATGATTTAGCTTCCGCCGCCCCGCGATCGAGGGCGAGACCGAGCCGCTGCTCTCGCGAGTCATGAATAGGAAGTTAATTTTACTGATTTTCTGAGTCATTCGAGTCATTTTGTTTATTTAAGTGGCTTAATGTTATAATTTTAACAGCCAAATTCCCCGATCACATCCACCTAGGCAATGTTGATCATATTCTGAATTAAGAAATCATAATGCAGTAAAAAATGATTTACAGGGAACATAAATAATCACTTTACCTTCCGAGTCTTACGTTCATTTGTCACGTGACATACACAATGAACAGATCGTTCATGAATCACATATCTGGGACTAATGCAGCAGGATGTCGAAACGAAATATGGTGGATTATTATTATGATAATAATAATAATATGATAATAAGAGCACACCAGGAGCGCTCACAGCCGAGGAGACCGACTTCCTTGTCATGGCCGTAAAAGACGGAGAACTGACGTTGAATGGGGGTAGGTTATGTCCTTATGCTATACAGTTATGGCCAAACAAGTCTGATCCGTCATTACTACAATTAGCCTGAAAAAATTAGCCTGAAAAAATATCTTTCCTTGTTATAATGATTTGCAAAAATAAAAACGGCTGCATCTGTGTTGATGAGAGAATCAAAAGTGTATGCGCGTTGTGCAAGCTACATAATGGCCAAGCATGCTGGTTTTTGCTGGTATACGTTGCAAATAGAGGGGCAGCAAAATTGTTTTTTGCCTAGAGCGGCAGACGTGCACGTCCTAGCTGTAAACACTGATGATGCGAGAGAAATAACGGAGTGAACATGGCTGTAAACGACTTTTGCTTCAGCTTAAAAAACCCCGGAATGTTCTCCATAACAGAGCGAATTGCATCCCGTGTCTTATTTCCCATTTCTGCGCGGTTGTTTCGGTTTTCGATTTCTCTAACCTACAATGTAATCTCGGCGCTTAGCTTCTATGTCACGGCTCTCAGCCCGCCCTCTGTTCGTTGATTGGCCGGCTGTTTTCAGGCCGGTGGAAAACTGAAAGATAGGCCGCTATCTCAGACTGACTACAGGAGCGAAATGAAATTAGCGGAAGTAGGAAGTCTGACGAAGTCAGACCCCGGTGTTTAAACCTGCCTAAGTATTATAATATGAAAGGCTCCAATTTAGAGCGGCAAAGCGGTTATGAGCAAAAGTGCGCAAAATAATGCACTTGAATCAACGCAAAGTCACAGCGCTTCACATTTAAAAGTTTAGGCACAAAGCGAAAAGATATTCCATGCTTGGTAAATTATACCTATGCAATAGTTTAATGAGCCCAACCGGTGCGTATGGTAAGGCACCGCAAATTACTCAGGCCGCGCCTCCATCTCGTGTCGTGCGCTAATTAATGTGTACGACCATGACAAAATGAAGCGAAACTATCCTTCTCGTCACGAAAAGAGGAAGAAGAAAAACATGAGAGTGAATTGCGGGAACAGCAGTCAGGTAAACTTGTGTTCTGTCCTCACTAGTGTCCGCAAAGTTTGATGGTTTGTCTGGGCAGGCAGTGCATCTCTTGCATCACTTTTTGCCTGACAAAAGTCAGAGTAAAATACCATTATTTATTACGTTTTGTTTTTGATAAACGACAAAGTGCAACAACATTGTTTGTTTACTGCAGCTCGGAAAACATAACCGCGTCGCGTGTGTTGCGTTCATATGCGCGTGCACGAAATGAAACTCGCATTTTTCAAGCAGAAATGTGGAGACCAGAGAAATGATGGCACTTCCAATCAAAGTACACATTATAAAGACACTGATTATCTAGTCTCAGTGTAGTTAAAAACTCTAAACAACTGCACTAATTATGCAAGATATAAACCAATGTATTGGCAATTTGACATTGATTGACTATTGATTTATAGGCTATATTGAATTTAAAATGATGATTAGATGGACATTCTGGTCAATATGAACGCAAATCCCTAAGTAAATAACCATAAATCAAGATTTGCTTTAACATGCATAAAAAAAAAAAATAAATAAATAAAAATCATAGGCTACTGATTCCGAAAATACCCTGGCAGAGAGAACCAAAGTTAATCCCAAAAGCCAAAGTTCAGGGTTGTACTTTATTATTTTCTTCTTGTTTATGTTTACGTTAATATTCACTTATGTGAATGTTAATGTTATCTTAACATTCTATAAAAATGCTTTATTCAGTAAATATTGTTTGTTTGAACCTCATTCTGTTCTATATTGTTGTACTTATTCTTTGACTGTTTTGTTTAAAGGAGGGAGGATTGTATTGGGCGGTATTGAGTGGCAATGGCAAATGGTTTACATGGCTCACGGCATCACAGATCAGGTAGAGGGCCCCTTAGCAGAATTTTGCTTAGGGCCCCAGGGGGAGGTCAGGATTGGCAAAAAAAAAAGAATTGTATTTTTTCCCGAAATCTAAGCGTTTTTTATTTTTTCGAGTTTTTTCCATTCAATCCAGATTATTTCTTTTCAAATAAATAAATAAATAAATAATTTAAAAAACAATAAACAACAATATGAAGAACTCTTTTGCTCATTTGTCTCATCTCTGACATTTTGCAATCTTTATAAATAATTATAATACCATAAGATGAGGCATTGCGTTTGGACATAAACACGGCCAGATAAGGCAATTTGGAAGGGGACAAATTCAACTGAATATATTCCTATATAGCCCGTGAGGGGGGAGGAGGTGCCCTTTTTTCAGGTCAGAGCAACTGCCCCTCAAAATTCCTGTGCACGTCCCTGTATGTAGGGTAGGCTATATAGGTTAACACATGAATATGATAGCTTGCTTTTGGCTTGTGATTATTACACACACACTCACGCGTGCACCAGCCGGTCGCAGATCTCGCTGGGCAGGAACACATCGGGCCGCAGCCGTAGCCGGTTCTGCTCGCTGTAGCACAAGGTTCTGCGCAAGTTTTTCAGGCAGAACACAGTGACCAAGGTCATCAGGCTCTCCGGGTCGTCACCCGCCGCCGTCGCCATGGCGACACTCGCTCAGAACTGCAGGACTGAGGCCCGGGTCTCAGCGCCGCACATGGAGAAGGACCAGAACACACTCCACCTGAGCGAGCAGAACACACTCTGGTTTACAACACAACGACATCAATGATCTGACCGCACTCACACCATCACAACTAATGTTCTCCACTGACTGTAGATCAGCACTGCAGCACATCAGCTGAGGCAAAGTAGTTTCATGATTGATTCGTTTTGCAGCATTGACACACGCACACACACGCGCACACACACACACACACACACACACACACACAGAATCCAACTGAATTTAATCAACATTGAACTGAATTAGCATCATAATTGATTGGCTTTGCAGCATTGACACTGTTATTGAACTGAATTGAATCAACATTGAACTGTATTTAATTAGTTTCATAACTGATGAATATTGTGACATTGACAAACACACAATTTGAACTGCATGATACAGCATTTACACCGTTATTGAATTGAATCAACATTGAACTGAATTTAACTAGTTTCATAACTGATGAATATTGTAACATTGACACACACACACACACACACACACACACATCATCCAACTGAATTTAATCAACATTGAACTGAATTAGTTTGATAACTGATTCGTTTTGCAGCATTGACATTGAACTGAATCAAATCGAATTGAATCAACATTGAACTGAATTAGTTTAATAACTGATTGACATTGACACATACACTGTGGATTGTCGATGTTTGTGTCCGTGTTTAACGTTATCTGACGAAGAGTGTTAGCGTGCGGGCTAGCCGTTAGCAGCTCATAAAGAGCAAGAGTTTAATATCGTCGCTCAGTGATTGACAGCGTCTGTCGCGCGCGGCACTTGTGTGTGTCTCTTACCTGACGCCGGTACACCGACTGACGCGCCCCTTCGATTCACAAGAAACACAGAAATATGAACATGATCTAATATGATCTCTGCCGCTCTGATGTCAACACAACTGCGCCACATCCGGGTCACCTGTGCACGTGACGCGATCACTTCCGGTTGGGTGATCGATCTGGGACTGGAGCCGATGAACCTCATGAGAAAAGAAGTGGGTTAATGAAGTCCACTCTAGAATCATTCCAAATATTAAATAATATTATAGAGTCGCCTGTGAACAGAGTTAACATGTTTAAATTAGATCCTTCTATCCCCCTACTAAACGAAAGTAGTGTAATTTATTTCTTTGCCTTTCGTTTTAGTTATTTTATTTGCTTATTTATTTTGTATTTGTTAAAATGTCAATACTCTATGTCCCTCGTACAGAGTTAATTGTTCTACTCATTATTAAGTTCAAATGCCATTAGGATTTATGTCAATTTAATGAATGTTAATTGTTATTACTTGCAAAATGTTAATAAATAAATAAATAAATAAATAAATGTATTTTAATAAAAAGGTCCAGTCTAAACTCTCTCCTGTTATTATAATAACTCCATCTCTGGATATTCCGACATGAAACACATGCCCGTTTATATTTTTATTTAAATCAAATTCATTTAATCTATTTTTTTATCTAGTCTACATTATCCCTTATTTTAAATAAGGGAGAAAGAATTCCTAATTTTAAATATATACATTTTTTTATATTTTAAACAATTTTTTCTTTTTTTAATATTTTTATTATTAAAAACGTTATTGTAATGGGGATAATGGGTTATTGTAATATGCCACATGTAATGTGGGTTATACCATGGTCTGGGTGAATACTCGATTCTGATTGGCTGCAGGGTGTCCGTTAAAAAGTGATAGAGGACACCTAGTAAAGTAGTTCTGGTGAAACTGCCTGTTTACCATTCGAAATGAATAAATAAATGCGCTGCCCACAACGGCTGTGAGTAACCATAGCAACAGGCAGTCACATGCTCTAGCTCTATCATCTAACGTTAGATATTATAGCCTAATACAACAATGAGCGACTTCGTGCTATTTCTTTTAACATTTATGGAGAATATGGCAACTTTGACGACTGGTATGCTGCTGAAGAAAGAAAAAATGTAAATAAAACGGAGGAAATTACACCGCTGCTGCGCTGCTCCATTGAACTCTATTGGTAACGACGTAACTTGCGACCATAGTTGGATAACGATGCTTTCGGGAAACGCACCCCTGAATGAGACCCTGCGGGAGTTTTACGCAGCTGTCCAGACAACCAAGGCAGGAGAAGGCTGAACGTTACAGCGTTTCAAGCCTAAGGAGCCTGAGGCAAATGACCCTCTCTTTGATCTGATTAATTTATTGCCCTCTATAACGTTAAGCGCAAATCGCTGGAGCTCAGAGCTAATTGTTTTTTTATTGTTGTTTGATTAATTGTTTTATGTGTAATAAAAAAAAAAAACTATGCCTACCTTTTGTGTTTAATGAAAAAAAAAATACATTTGTGAACCTGAAGGGATACGAGCTAAGCGGACTATAAATATCTCCGGTTGCTAAATAAACAGTCAGGCAAGGCAAGTTATTATTTGTAAAAACTAGATTTAGCCTAATTAAAATATAAACTAATGTTTTAAAAATGTTTTATTTGGCAAGTGACCATGGTATAAGCGGGTTAATGCCCTCCGAGGTGTCCATTGTCAGGTTTTAATGGACTTCGGCGGAGGCAACCGTCCTCCGCTGCGCGTCGGCCGGTTTACGCCTCGCCGTCGTCCATTAAAACCTGACAATGGACACCTCGTCGGGCATTAACCCTTACATAATCTATACGACAGATATATGCATTTTTCATTCATAAATAAAAATGGCCACACTAAAAATTAATAAACTATCATTTAAAAAACAATGCCATCAATCATCAATAGTTTTTTTTTTTTTCAAGAATTATAATTAGAGTCATTATTGAAATAAATTTAGTACAGTGAGTAAACTAAAGAAACAAACATAAAAAGACAAACAAAGCAATGACAAACTTAAAAGTTAAACAGAATGTGAGCATGTTTATATGGATACGCACTTTGCAGCTTTCTTATTTTTAAACCCAATATTGTTTTTAGGTATTGTTGAATTTCTGGCTTGCTGAACAAAGGCTTGTTTCCTCCAAATTTACATTTATGAATACTAAATTTAGCTAGAAGAAGCAGATTAATTAAGTAATATTCCTTATGATAAGATTTGTCATAAAAGGAAAAAAAACAAATTACACATTTTTAAATCATAGCTAGTTGAAAGGTATGATATGAGCTTTAAAGGGATACTCCACTTTTTTTGGAAATAGGCTCATTTTACAACTCCCACAGAGTTAAACAGTTGGGTTTTACCGTTTTCGAATCCATTCAGACGATTTTCTGATATTTAGAAAAATATCAGTGACCAGACAGTTTCTGGTCTCATTGACTTGGAAGTGGGAGTTGTAAAATGAGCCTATTTCGAAAAAAAGTGAAGTATTCCTTTAATAAAGGAACAGAAATCTGACCATGGGTAATATTTTATAAATCAGTTTTAGGGAAATTTCTTTGATTTTGTTTGTAATTAAATATTTATGAGGAAGTTTCCGGATTTGATTCCACACAGATTATCAGCACAACCGTTCCAGAATGATATAACAGCAGGTCTGAGACAATATCCCTTTGAAACAAAGCCTGTAAAGATAATTATTTTTAATATAGGAAAGAGAAAGACAGATGCGGCCTATGACGTACTCTGGCAAGTCTGGAGATCGCAGAGGGCAGGTGTTTGTGTAAGAAGCACTCTTAGACCAGAGGAACAGCATCATAACCACAGCAACATCTAAAGGGTCACTGGAATATTACATTAGAAAGAAATTCAGAATCGGTCAGAAAGTCCTTCATGGTTATACAGTTGGCTAACAAAACTATATAATTACAAAACCAATTCATGAGAAACAAGATTCAGATTAATACAGAATGGACTTATTATTCCAGATAAAACACTTTTTGGAGAGAAATTGTGTTTAGATTAAATTCCAGGAGAGAAGCATCTCAATCAGTCATTCACGGTAGTTTGAGTGTTTCTTGTCATGGCTCACAATCGTGAAATGTGACGCTGATTTGGGATGTTTTATGTGTTGTGATGTTTTGTATTGTGATGTATTGTGATGTAGGGTGCTTCTCAATATCCCTCCTCGTCTCCTCGCTCCTCCGTCCTCCCTCCTATGACCCGGAAACCGATCGAGCTCAGCCATCTTGAAGGACATCTCAATTCTCTAATTTCTTTTTTTTTTTTTTACGCTTTATTGTGAACATCAAGTAGCATGTACATTGTAATTTCTCATACAACATATTTCACATGCCTCAACAAGAACATAAAAAAATAAATAATAATAATAATTAAAATAAAAAATAAAAAGAATGAGAGGGTACATAAATATCAGTTTACCAACAGATATACATTATACATTTACTGTATCAATTCCAAAGCGTATTCTAATGCAATAATACATAGAGTATACTTTATATATCAGCATCATTAATTATATTTGTGAAACTATTATATATGTGAAATTATATTATATTATGTGAAAATGTTCAAGGATGAGCATTAATCACTTTAATTGCTTTACTATTTTTAGATTTTGACATCACATCTACATACATTTTGATCTCTTTTTCAAGTACCATAAAAAGAGGTCTGCTATTTGTAAACTTGCATTTATGAATGTGAAATTTACATAAAAATAAAATAAAATTTATAATAAAACCGACATCCTTTAAGGAGTGATCCTCGATATAATAGCCACAATCACATATTTGTAAGACAATTTAAATGTTTTTAAAATATTATTAGCAATGAAAATCTCTACATTGTTCCAAAAAAGCTGGGTATAATGGCAAGACCAAAACAAATGAGAGGTCGTTTCAGTGGAGCATTCACAGAAAGAACATTTTAAGTCAATATTAATTTTAAATTTTTGTAGAAATACTTTTGTAGGATAAACTCTGTGAATTAATTTATAAGAGATTTCTTTAACTTTATTTGTAAGGAGGAATTTTTGAGGTAATGACCAAACTTGAGTCCAATTTACACTACTAAAAAAACTGTTCCAGTAGAAAATAACCGTGAGGAGTTGAGGATCGAGGAGTGAGTAGGCTTCCTGAGGAGTCATAAGCGTGGATACACAGGTGCATCCTACGCGGAACTGTTAAATTGACTAAACGTGACGCATGTGTCAATTCTCCTCCCCCTTCACATCGGTCACAATAATTTTAATTTAAACTTTACCTTTGCAGTTTATATAAACCACACATCTCAGATATTTCAACAGTATAGCCTATCTTTATTATTATTTATTATGAATTTATTAAATAACCAAACTTGTTCAACAACATAAGGGCAGATCCTTTTAGCGCTGCTGATGACACTGGAGTGACACTCGAGTGATCAAGTATTCCAATGTATATAAAAAAGCTTTTATTCGATTCCTCTGTCCTCCTTTCCTTTCCTCGCTTCCTTCCCTCGCGTCCTACAGGGGGTGGAGCTGAGACGCAAGGAAAGGAAACAAGGAAAGGAAACGAGGATGCACGAATAAGAAATGAGAAGCACCCGTAATGTGTTGTTATATTTGTGTTGTAACGGAACTAACGCGCGCGCGGCCCGTGTTTCCGGGGGACTGTTTTCCTGGAGCGCGCGACTGAACCAGTCCAACATGTCGAGCTCCTACAGAAACAGGTGAGAAACAAAACAAACACGCCATTAAACGCGCCTTCACACTCACACACAGACACTTTACTTCATCGACACGCGCGTAGACCGCGTTTATATCAGACACGCGGGGCAAGCGTGATGACATCGCTGAAGTTTGTGTGAGTCAGTGAGTCAGTCAGTGAGTGAGTCAGTGAGTGAGGGAGTGAGTGAGTGAGTGAAAGAAAGAGAGAGAATGTGAGAGAGAGAGAGAGTGTGTGTGAGAGAGAGAGAGAGAGAGTGTGTGTGTGTGTGTGTGTGTGTGTGTGTGTGTGTGTGTGTGTGTGTGTGTGTGTGTGTGTGTGTGTGTGTGTGTGTGTCTGTGTGTGTGTGTGTGTGAGAGAGAGAGAGAGAGTGTGAGTGAGTGAGTGAAAGAGAGAGAGAGAATGTGAGTGAGAGAGTGTATTGATGTGTTTTTGCAAGAGAGAGAGAGAGTGTGTGTGTGTGTGTGTGTGTGTGTGTGTGTGTGTGAGAGAGAGAGAGTGTGTAAGAGAGAGATTGTGTGTGTGTGTGTGTGTGTGTGTGAGATACATACACACACTCTGTATGTATGTGTTGTGTTTATGTGTGTGGTTGTATAAAGTCTGTCCAGTTTTAGTTTTAAAGCCATTTTCACAAGATAAACAGTTTGAAAGCAGAAATCATTAATGTTTGTGTTATTATTTCATCAATAACATGTTTTCATAAATTTAAACTCACCCAGATTAGCTGTAAGCAAAGTAACAATGTCTCGCTTTTGCTTAATTCTATTTTTCATATTGATTTTTAAATCTCAAGAATTGTAATAATAATGTCACGTTTACCTTAAAGTCTTTCAGTGAACATAACCTCTGGAGAGGAGCGTTATGATACACATACGCAGTATGCACTATTTAACATAAGCATCATATTCTTACTCAACCTGTTCTTCAATATTTAATGTCTTTGACTAAATCATGAAAACTAGTTTTTAATGACCGCCCCTTTTAAATGTTTAAAAAATGAATTGTAGTATAGATTCCTCGGCTGGTGTGTTGTTGATTATTTCGCTGGTGTTGATTCATACGCTGGTGTTGATTCTTCCGCTGGTGTTGATTCCTCCGCTGGTGTTGATTCTTCCGCTGGTGTTGATTCTTCCGCTGGTGTTGATTCCTCCGCTGGTGTTGATTCCTCCGCTGGTGTTGATTCTTCCGCTGGTGTTGATTCCTCCGCTGGTGTTGATTCCTCCGCTGGTGTTGATTCCTCCGCTGGTGTTGATTCCTCCGCTGGTGTTGATTCCTCCGCTGGTGTTGATTCCTCCGCTGGTGTTGATTCTTCAGCTGGTGTCGATTCCTCCGCTGGTGTTGATTCCTCCGCTGGTGTTGATTCCTCCGCTGGTGTTGATTCCTCCGCTGGTGTTGATTCTTCAGCTGGTGTTGATTCCTCCGCTGGTGTTGATTCCTCCGCTGGTGTTGATTCCTCCATTGGTGTTGATTCTTCCGCTGGTGTTGATTCTTCCGCTGGTGTTGATTCCTCCGCTGGTGTTGATTCTTCAGCTGGTGTTGATTCCTTGGCTGGTGTGTTGATTCCTCGGCTGTTGTGGAGGACCTGCGCCTAGACACGACCACAAAGCATGATGTAGTCAGCCGGATCCGGGCCGTATCCAGATCAGATGGTGAACCTGGGCCTAGACACGACCACAACACATGATGTAGTCATCCGGATCCGGGCCGTATCCAGATCAGAATGAGGACCTGCGCCTAGAAACGACCACAATATATGATGTAGTCAGCCGGATCCGGGCCGTATCCAGATCAGATGGTGAACCTGTGCCTAGACGCGACCACAACAAATAACGGAATCAGCCAGATCCGGGCCTTATCCAGATCAGATGGTGGACCTGTGCCTAGACACAACCACAACACATGATATAGTCAGCCGTATCCAAATCAGATGAGATCTTAATCATCCACAGTTGAAATGAATAACTTTAAGCTGGACTGTGATGCTATTTTCTTCTAGAAATAAACTTTGCTGCATTATTTTCCTGTTATCTCTGTAAAGCTGCAATGAAACTATCAATATTGTAAAAAGTGCTATATAAATAAAGCTGACTTGACTTGAATGAATGTTTTCTTTTGTGAGCTTGAGTGATCATGTGATCAGGTCATGTGACATGTCTCTGCTGTTCCTCAGGATCCAGGAGTTCAAGGTTTCACTGAGCGAGCAGAAGCTGGACATAAAGGCGTTACGCCAGCTGTGCTTCAGCGGTACGTGTGTATGTGTGTGTGGTGAGTCGGGGTGTCTTTCTCCACACGGTTACACACTCTCTCTCTCTCTCTCTCTCTCTCTCAGGGATCCCGTGTGAAGGAGGCATTCGCTCTCTCTGCTGGAAGGTCAGTCTGGCGTTTCCTCGAGTTTCACTCATTATCATGTGACTGAATTAATGAATGATGGAGATTTCCTCCCTCATTCCGCAGATTCTGCTGAACTATCTGCCGTCAGATCAGGCTGTATGGGACTCTTTCCTGCAGAAGCAGAGGTTACACACACACTCACTGCATTTTACACTGTTTTTACAGATAAGGACTTCTTCAGACAGCAGGTTTTGGGAGGTTTAGTCAGGTTCAGCACATATTTGCCCCCAGAATATGGTTATACACACTGAGTTTGTTGTTGTTGTGCTTGTTTAGGCTTTAAAGGTGACATTATGCTCCTTTTCACAAGAAGTAATAAAAATCTATGGTGTCCCCACAATGTGTCTGTGAAATTTCAGCTTTAAAATTTCAGATATATTTTATTATAGCTTGTCAAATTGACCCCTTTTTGTGTGTACGCGGAACTGATCACTGTTGTCGCTTATGAAACCATGGCATCTCCGTGGGTGTAGACATGCAAATTAAGGGCCAGTAATATTATAGACCATTTCACAAGATGTAAACAACACTGGTCCAGAAGCACTTCCTGTTTCAGTTTTTTAACACTACATAAAAGCTGGGATAAAATACAACCAACAGAACATTTAAAACTGAATCAAAAAGTTAAACAAACATCTTTAAGATGTTTTCTTTACATGTGAAATAAAGAAAACAGTTACAAACTGAAGCAGGAAGTGTTTCTGGACCAGTGTTGTTTACATCTTGTGAAATGGTCTATATAATAAGATCCTCTTCATACGTCAAAAGGCGAGCGAAATCAGATCGGCTTATTTTATAACATGCTCGCAGAGAAAGACTCCCCAAAACAAAATTACCAGGTTTCATTTTTCACATTTTCTGGGTTGGTAGAAGCAGTGGGCATCCGATTATAGCACTTGCACATGGAGAAAGTTTGATTTACATGATATGTCCCCTTTAAAGTCCCATAAGAAGTACAGACACATGATGCTAATGAGCTTGACTCTGATTGGTTAGGGATCTGTACGCCCAGTTTCTGAGAGAGATGATCATCCAGCCAGGAATCGCTAAGGCAAACCTGGGCGTGTCTCGAGAGGACGTGACGCTGGAGGATCACGTGAGTGTGAGCTCTTTCCAGGACAGGAAGGGTGTGTGTGTGTAGGGCTGGGTACCAAGTTCGTTACTTTTTAGGTACCGACCGAATTGCCTCGGTACTACCGAGTATGGAAACATGTCTTGTTTGGTGGTATCAAATTTCAGTACTTAAGTGGTTAATCTCGGCAACGTCAGTGAAACAATAAGCACGCAGATAGGCTGTGGCGGAAAACACTAGTTTACGCGGCTGCTCAGAGACGTAGCTCTTCGCACGTGAGCCAGACTCGATACCAGAAGCACGCGATGCAATATTTTTGACAGGAAAATTGCCGCCAAGACCAGTAACACGGTAAATCTGATAAGCGCACAGACACTTGAGAGTACAAAGTCCGTCTTCGACTGCAAGAACTGGAGATGAACCGACACTCAGCATATGGGATACTTGCCTCATAGACATGAGAAATAGGCCTATAGACGGTCAAAATATGTCTACTTTTAAACAAAACAATTAGAAATGAATAGTTTGATTACCTGATCCATATAATGTTAGGCGCGCACATTCACTGCTGCAGGAATGACGAGTCAGCATCGCCATAATCATATTTGCTGTCAGCAGACTTATTAAACACTTGTTCATTAATAAACGATTAAAAATATATCCTTGCTGTTGTTTCCCGACACATCCATAATCATTAAGGCCAATTTATACTTCTGCGTAGGGTGCGCGCAGTAGGGACGGCGTAGCATACGCACAGACGCGTCCCATACCGCGTACCCTTCGCCGTCGCCTGATGCGCACCTCTTCAAAAATGTAACTACACGTCGCGGCGACGCGGACCGCAAGATCGGTGATTGGTCGGCTTGGTAGCATCGCATTTCCTCCTACGCATTTCCGCACGTACCTTCTCACGCATTTCCACCACTGTCTATGATTTCCACACGTACCATCTCCTCCGACGTCTTCTGTCATTTCTGCCTTTCAGTTTTAGTAATTTCACTAAAGTGAACTGTTTTTCCACCTCAATAAGCTCCAACTCCAACATGATCCACTCTCTTTCAGTCGATATTGCTTGTAGTAACCTAGCCGTGAGGAATCTAAACACAGTGGAACATTAAAACCCTCCGCCGCCAACTAGCGTTTCGGAGCAGTACTGCAGAGCAACCAAGACCTGAACGCAGAAGTATAAATGCTCACAACGGCGTCGCCTACGTGCGTAGCCAACGCCGTGCACTACGGCGTACCCTCGACGCAGAAGTATAAATTGGCCTTTAGGCTTCTGTTGCCAGTGCTTTGCGGCAAGCTTCACGTGTGCTGAGCGCGAGGCATATATCCTGCCCCCCAGTAGCCTATATTTAATTTAATTCACTTTTTTTTGTATAGCATTTTTCATAATACATATTGTTTCAAAGCAGCTTTACAGAAAATGCATGTTTCTAAATTACAATTTAGAGTGATCTGTTATCAGAGGTGTCAGTGTAATGCATTTCTTTCCAACAATATCTTTATTTCCAAACATAATAACATTACATAAACTCAAAAACATAAAACTCTTGCCCACAACCCACAGAACTTTGTCCATCAGACTATCCGAAACATGATCTGATAACCCCAATAACAAATAAATGAATAACTAAAAACAAAGGCAACAAAATTATACAATAAAATAATAAACAAATGCTACATAAAAATAAATAAATAATTTAATGGAGAGAATAAGTACAAAACCTACCATGCACAGTTCTCACCAATATGCGCTACACACGAATTAGTAATCATTTTCCAAGTGAACTGCAGGTTACTTATGGATCATCCCCAGACATTTCCACCACACATGATAGGTCTTTATTAGCAAGAAAGTTACTAAAGTGGCCCCAGATGCTATCAAAAATTGGTAACTTTCCTCTAATTGCATACGTGATCTTTTCTAAGGGCAACATTGCTATTAATTCTGAAAGCCATTTACCTATCCTTGGTCTAGCCACCTCTCTCCAGGAAGTAGCAATTACTACTTAACCTCTAGTAACCTCTTTCCAGGAAAGTAACCTCTTTCCAGGAAGTGGCCAAAAGTAACTCTTTTGGCCAGCAACAAACCTATATCTAAAAATATTCTATGCTTCTTTCTAATGGTACAGTTAGCTGGATAGATACCCAATAGAAATATTTTGGGTTCTAAATGTAATTTTATCTCTAAAATTTCCTCAATACACTTTCACTTCTCCCCAAAATTCTTTAATTTGAGAAGATTGCCACAAACAATGGAAGATCATGCCCTTCTCCTTGTCACATTTTATGCAAACATCCGGTATGTCTTTGTTAAATTTGTTAAAGGGTTAGTTCACCCAAAAATGAAAATTAAGTCATTAATTACTCACCCCCATGCTGTACCAACCCCGTAAGACCTTTGTTCGTCTTCAGAACACAAATGAAGATTTTTTTTATTAAATTTGAGAGCTGTATAACTACCACATTGGCTGCCTAAGGGACTGCCTCTTGACGGCCCAGAAAGTCAATGAAGAATATGTTTAAATATCCCAAGTGACTACCGTGGCTCAACTATATGTTTATCAAGCGACGAGAATACTTTTTGTGCGAAAAAACAAACAAAAATAACAAGTTTATTCGACTATTCCTTTTCTTCCTTGTTGGCCTGAAACGAGACTTCCTTAGATTTCCACGAGAATACATGCATGCGCGAGAATTGCTATCTCTTTCAACTACCTCAGTTCAGTTCTCGCGCATGCGTCGTGGAAATCTAAGGAAGTCTCATTTTTAACCATAGGGTTCTTGGTGATATTTTTAAGTTTCTTAAACTTAGCCGAGTACAGGTAAATGGGCAAGGGCAACTTCAATGTATCGCCTTCCATTTCTCTCCAAAGTGGCACATTCTCCTCAGAATAGTAAAACATCATTGTTCTTAGTTGCGCTGCCCAGTAGTACCATAGTGGATTTGGGCATTTAAGCCCACCTCTATCATAAGGCAAGTACAACAATGAAAGGCGCTGCCTGGAGCGTCTGTTGTTCCATAGAAACTTAATGAAAAGTGTCTACAGCTGAGAAAATAAATTGCTTGGTGGAGGCAAAGGCAAATTTTGAAACAAATACAACAGTTTAGGAAGTACATTCATTTTGAGAGTATTTATCTACCCCATTAACGACATCGGTAAAGCAGCCCATCTATCTAAAGAAGTTGAGATCCCTTGCATAACTGGTCTATAATTACTTTCTATGATATTGTTAAGCAATGGGACAATTTCAATGCCTAAATAAGAGAAGCAATTGACAACCTTAAATTGTGATACTACATTAGTTGGATTTTCCCTGTCTACTTGATTTAATAGCATAATGGATGTTTTAGACTTATTAATCTTATAACCTGAGATCTTGCCAAACTTCCAAATCAAATCTAGCAAAGCCGGGATGGATTTCTTAGTATTTTTTGAGAAAAACAATTATGTCGTCTGCATATAAAGTTAAACGATGCGTCGTCCTATAGTTATTATTGAAATGTTATCATGTGATCTCACTGCAATTGCAAGGGGTTCAATTGCCATAATGAACAGCAATGGAGACAAAGGGACCCCTTGTCTACACCCTCTCTTTATTTGTATAATTTTTGAAATATTACTGTTAGTTAAAAATTGTGCATATGGTTCCTTGTAAAGTAATCTTATCCAATTACAAAACGTCTCCAGTAGTAATAGGATGCACTTTATGTCAAAAAGATGATTGATTGACAGGTGACCCGCCCCTTCCCGCCCCTTCCCGCCCCTTTCTCACGCCCCTTTTGGCATAGGATGAAAGGGTTGAATCTAGAGCAAAGGAGATAAGAGGTGATAAAAAGTATCAAAATGAGATAAAAAGTATCAAAAATGAGATAAAAAGTATCAAAAATGAGATAAAAAGAGAGCCATCTGTGTTAGCGAGATAAGATCAAAAGGCATCAAATGGATTTGACAGTTAGTTTTATGACCTATTGACCGCCTAGCCTTGATAATGTCCTTTTTTAACATTTGTTTTTATTTGTAAAGATAAGATTAAATGGATCAAATTGAATTTGACAGTTAGTTTTATGACCTGTTGACCGCCTAGCTTTGATAATGTCCTTTTTTATTATTTGTTTTTATTTGTAAAGATAAGATTAAAGGGATCAAATTGGATTTGACAGTTAGTTTTTTAACCTATTGACCACCTAGCCTTGATAATGTTGAATTAAAGATAAAGTAGTTTAAAGTAAAAATAGTTTTACTAATAATGCTACATATCTCACAATAATTAAAGTTGAAAAGCATTCAGTTCATTTAAAAAAAAATAAAAAAGATTGAGTGATTCTCTCTATCACGCAGGCAGATAGGTGCATTTATGTCTCTGTGTGAGTTACACAGATTTTTATGTTTAGTTAAAATAAACAAGACTATAATTCCTTTCAAAACAACAGGTAGTGTGTTTTGCTAATCATTTATTTTCCAATTATAATCTGTTGAACGCTATTTCATCTGTTGGGAGACAAGCATGAAATGCAGCTGATGGTTTGATGTACCTCGCAGTTCACGGTCAGGGTACAGATAAAGAACCAAAATTCAAAATACAATAAAATGTCCATACATTTAAAGTTAAAAAGATCCCAGATTGATCCCAGATTCACAGCCAGGTCACTATGTCGCACAGTCTTCTGCCTATGTGTGTGAGAAAGAGTTGATATCAATAAATTACTTTAGACCTCTCTGAATCCTGAAAACCTCAAAGTCAGACGGGGGCCCGGGCGCACTTATCTGTGTGTGTGTGTGTGTTACATGATACCCTCCGCATTCCTGAAGACACTGTGAAAGTGAGGACAATTTATATATATATATATATATATATATATATTATAATTACTTTCACTATACATGCTACCACTAGGCTCAATTTTTAGGAATCACACAGTATCTTTTAATTTTAATGCAGACGACACTCAAATCTATCTCCCTTTGAAACATAATGACAAGCAAGGCCTAGAAACTTTGCTTGCCTGCTTATCTGAC